TGATGCACCTGTAGCGCCTCCCTGAGGGCAGCAGGTCAAACATGGCAGAACCAGGGTGGGAGTTGTCCGTGATGATGTTTTTCGCTCTACTGAGGCAGCGGGAGGTGTAGATGTCCATCAGGGAGGGGAGAGGGCAGCCGATGATCTTCTGGGCTGCCTTTACAACTCTCTGAAGCTTCTCCCTGTCTGCCATGGTGCAGCTGCCGTACCATACTGTGATACAGTAGGTCAGTAGGCTCTCAATGGACGAGCGATAGAAGGTCAGCAGCAGGGTGGGGGTCAGGTTGTGCTTCTTGAGGACCCTCAGGAGGTGAAGCCGCTGCTGCGCCTTCTTGATTATTGCCGTGGTGCAAAGGGAAAAAAAAAAAAACAGGGGAAGTATTCAGTTTATCACTCGTTTCTTATGTGTGTGCCTATTAGACACGTTCAGGAACAGCCTGGTGTTCACAGGTGACAACTCCTGCTCGCGACCCTTTGCTGCAGGTCTCTCCCCATTTATCTCCCCCCTTTCCTGTCTATCTCTATTGATCTAAATAAAGGCAAAAAATATAGATATTTTAAAAAAACTAACACGAGAAGGGAAAACTCCTGTGAATAAACTAAACCAACAAAACGGGGATACTCACAGGACAGGGGGCAAAACTGAAGGGGGCAGACAGGCTCAGGGAATCCAGATCTGGTGAGGGTTGGGGAAAAGCTGGAGCAAGGCTGAGGAAACAGATTGGACACCAGAACGGGGACTGGCAGAAACACAGGGGATGAAGGTCTGTGGTCTGGCAGGGTGGGGTGGAATGAGCTATTGTGATCAGGCTCAGGTGAGCTGATGGCCACAGCTGTCTCCAACAGCTGTGATCAGGTACACAGGAGACAGGAGATGGAGAGCCAAGCTGAGTGAGAGGGGAGACAGAGGTAGAGAGGAGGGAGAAGAAGAGAAAAAGAGGGAGACAGGCGTGGCTGGGTGGTCACATCATATACCCATACAATTTAGAAAACAAACTGTATCTATGTAATAAAACATGATAAACTAGGATTAAAACAAGATAAGATAAGTTCCCCCATCGGGGAAATGCAGGAAATTCCATCTTGATGGTAAAGCATCATAAATAACATGGCCACACTTTGATCCTAAATTTAAAAAAATTTGGTGTTACAGTACAAAAATGTAATTTAATTTGAATTCATCTTCTTGTCTACAACTAACTTGAGCTTCTGTAAAGCAATAAACAAAACGCTGATCGTTCTCTTGGTCACTTGGAGAGACTTTGTTTTGCAGCAGATGTTTGCATGATAAAGAACACCACAGTGCCGCTCAGTGGTTCTGAGGAGAACTGTGGGGTTTAGATTTGATGGGAAAGACAACAGATGTCGCCAGAGTCAAGAACTCATTATCAATGTGTAGAAAGAGCTTCAAGGCACAAAATCTCAGACTGAAATTTAAAAAAAAAAAAAAAAACTTTCCCCCTAATTCAGTGTAAGTAAAAAGATTTTTATTCAAAACATATCAAAATACACATTGTAATATTTGCGAATACTTCTATAGTTTCCTGCAGTTGTGGGGGAAAAGCAGAAATAAATTAAAGCATAAATATGCAGGAGACACAAATATTCAGTTTCCTTATGCTGCATTATATTATTAATACATTTCATCGGAACCACCAATACGGTAAAAAGTCATGCCAACAGACAAACTACATAAAACTGAGGCATGCAGATCGGTTAGATTAATGTTATGCACCACACCTACATAATCACATGCACTATTTAACTGGAATGCACACTTGAGGGCACACATGAGGGTTACAAGGAAGAATTTCCTTTTTGGTTCATCATGCAGATTTTAATCTGTAAGTCACAGAAAATGATGACAAGAGTAAGTTGCAAAGTAAGCGTAAATTGGTGTGTGTGTGTGTGTTGGGGGGGTGTTGAGTGCCAGTTTAAAATAAAAAACATGTAAAAATCGAGGTTGCACTACAAGAGAATAACCTTCCTTTTGATATTGAATGTTGCCAGCAGACACTGATGGTGGTCTGGTGGATGCATAGAGGCTCTCTTAAGTGAACACTCACAGTTCCAGCTGCAGCAGGTGAAAACGTCACCGGTCTGTCAGCTGCAAAAGCCATAGTTAAAATAAATCTTTTGCTCATATATAATGAGCTTATGAATGCGAAAAATGGGGCTAAACTGAGAAAGAAAAAATGAAACAGCAAAAAAAAAAAAAACACCTTGAAGGAAATGAACTTTGGCACCAAAAGATGTGCAGGAATCAAACATTCCTCTGCACAGATAGCTATCACGGCCCACAGCAGCTGGGTGGACTGCTTTGTAGTTGGATTCGTTTCTTTAACTGCAACAAATATTCTTGATATGCAAATACGGGAATGTTTGAGGAACTTTACCGTTTCTCTCAGGAAGATTAAATCTGCTAAACAGATGCACTTCACACAGTGAGAGTCAGCGTTCCTTCACTCTTGTGTGGCAAATCAGTAGCCAACCGGACCTCTCCTGACACCTTAGGTGCTCTCAATTCTGCATTAACAAAGAGACACACTCTTTGATGCTGATGGTGTTAATTTCTTGCACCATCAGCGACATTTAGTACTTAAGGTCAAACTGAGCGACACCTTGGTTGTATTTTGATTTATTTGAACCAGCTCTGTTAATCTTTCACGCTGCTGTGCTGATATGTATAATTCTGATTTCGCAACTATAAAATATAACAGTAAACAAGTAAGAATGAAACTATCTGCTCTTTCACATTTGAAGAACCTGAGCATCTGTAGTGATGCTGGACAGAAGGTTAATAACTGAGCAAACATTGTACTTGTGTTAAATTATTAGGAGGTGCTTAGTGTCTTTGTTGATTGATTAACTGGCATTTTAAACTTTGTTAAGTTTAAACATGAGCAGTGACTTGCAGGTGTAGTTTTACCTGTTATGTTTCTCTGCTGTGTGCAGCATTGTGTCCCTTATGTAACGCCATGTGCTTTTATTTGTTGAATGCGTTTCCGTGTCCAACATCGACTGACTCTTCCGCTCTTATCAGAAAGCCCGCTTTAATTTTAACCAAGTTTGTTCTTTGTCTTGAACAAACAATCTCGAATCAAGGCACACAAACGTTTTCTTTCATGAATGTTGTGAGGGAATGGATACTAACTCATGAGCTCATAGGCACAGGCGTTACACAGTAAAGATCACTTATGTGCTTCAACATGGAAACAAGTCTAAATGCTGCTTTAAAAATGTGAGTAAACTCAATTTAAAGATGAGCTCCAACTCAAAGTAATGCAAGTCTCTCTGGGAGTTGTGTCCTCATTTCTCTGAGATAAAGAACTATTTGACATTATCCATATAAGAAAACTTTATCTTGTTCAACAAAAATACATTTCCACACTCTTTCAACTCGTACTTTCAGGTCCCAATTCCCAATATATTTACACTAAAAGTCATTTTGAGTTCAGTTTACTCGTGTTTTTAAGGCAGCAATTGCACTTAGGTTGGGTCATTTTGTTTCAAGTCATCTTATGAGTTATGAAACTGTAGAATTCACCAAGTCAAGTTGACGAAACTGTTCAGTTGCATGGATCGTCTTCATACACTGTAAAATGTGTAAAGTTGATCTTACTTAAACAAATCTAGGAAACCAGTTGCACTCAAAAAAGGTACGTAAATATAACTATTAGTCTTAAATTCAGTTTACTTCACACCTACTTGTAAAGTTTACTTATAATTTAGCTGTATTCACTTAATTTTGTGAGCTTAAAAATAGCAAGTATAATGAACTTGATCTTTCCAAGTGTTAGAAACGTAAATAATACTAATAATTGATCAGATTTATATAGCGCTTTTCTAGACACTCAAAGTTGCTTTACACTGTCAGTTATTCGTTCACACACACATACATCCTGGTGGTGGTAGCTACGGTTGTAGCCACAGCTGCCCAGGGGCAGACTGACAGAGGCGTGGCTGCCATTCTGCCCCTCACCTCAAACAATCTATGTTGTCCAGACCAGGTGAGTGAAGTGTCTTGCCCAAGGACACAGCCACCATGACACAGGTTAGAGGGCGGAATTGAACCGCTGACCTTCCCATCGCTGACCGACCTGCTCTTCCACCTGAGCCACACCCGCCCCATAAAGTTTCTGGAAACTTTTCTTGCACTTACTCTGCTGCACATGTGCACTGCTGAGCTCTGTGTTCAGCCCAGGAACAGAACGTTTCAAGTCCAGTTTACTCAAGTGTACTTAGTTTTGTAGCTCTTTAAGGAAAAATGAGTACATACTCACAGTCCATGAGTTACATGAACAGGACAATGAGAAATAAGTAAAGTACACTAATGTGATTGAAGTAAGCATAGGTATTACCTTTTAGAGTGTAGGCTGAGCTGCTTAAGTTTTTACTTTTTTCAGTCATAAGAGTTTGTTCTTCAGTTACTATGAGGAATTTACAGTCATAGCAGTTGATGCAGCATATTCACATTAAGTAAATTAGTAAAGATGAGCTGGTTTGACTGGATTTCTGTCGGATTTTTGTTCCAGTGAATCATAACGCCTTCAGCTAAAACAAAGCCAACCAAACAGAGAACACTGTGATGGGTGTGCATTTGTTTTTTGGCCAGTGTTCAACAGAAAAAATATAATTTGCAGACAAACTGACTTTACAAAAATAAATGATTTATTATTTACAACATCATGGTGGAAAAAATGTACTGTACAACGAAAAACATGTATTACATGATATAAATAACATTCAACATTTTGTTGCAAGTGTAATAAATATCTTCTTTTAAGGCAGAGACTCACTTCACTGTTTACTCGTATCCTTATTTAGCGATCACAAAGTGCAGTTTTTAACATTTTTAAAACAGTAGCATTTATAAAATGTAACATTAGAAAAATCCTTCAGTTCTGTATCTTCACATCAACTTCTCAGTATGTTTCGTCATAACACAAGTTGTACAACATTTACAGAATATGGAGAAAAAGTGAGGAGAACAACATGAGACACAGTTTCCTGGTTGGACTTCAATCAGGGACGTTGCAGCAAAGATCTCCAACGTTAATTCTCCTGCACCAGGACACATTCACTAAGTTCTATTCACAGTGTTTCAAGTCTCTCAGTAGCTTGTATTTGGTGATTCTTGTCTGGTGTCGTGGAGCTCAGACCTCCACAGAAACACACCTCCCCTCCTCTGATGCATCACTGCTGATGCTGCTTCGACACAGTGGGCAGGTACCAAACTGCTGGGAGACTCTGACGCAGCAGCTGTTGCACAAACACTGGTGGCCACAACGCAGCACGACTGTGGCCTTTCTCACCATGCAAACCACACAGCCTCTATCTAAGACCAGAGGAGAGAATCAGCATTACAACACTGACAAAGACCGGCAGTCTTAATTCAGTACAGCTCAGACAGTATTGGACTCTTTCATACCTGCTGGGAATTCCATGTCGAGACAGGAGATGTAGTCATCAGCAGTTGGACTGAGACTGGAAACATTAGGGGAGGTGGTGGGTTCAGGAGCAGGACAGGATCTTCTAGTGCAAAGTCCTTTTTTCTCTGAGCCTGAGAGTAAAAGAGGCATCATGACATGTCATCTGTTGATCCCCGTCATTCAAACAACAGTTGGTAGTGTCAGCGCATGTGAAACCTTCTGCCGGCCCAAAAACAAGAAAAGCTTGTTGTAGAAGAAACAAAACAGTGGTTATAGTAAACTTACCCAGGAGGAGAATGGAGCAGGTCTGTCCATAGATGTCTATCATGGCCCACAGTGGCCGGCTGAGGTCCACTCCTGTCAGCAGCTTGTGCTGACCGCTGTTGCTTGAGGCATATAAGCTGCCACCAGCAGAAACCCAGAACTCCACCTCTGAACCTGCCTGACACCAGGACTCATGCACAGGAGCGGCCCAGTGCCCGGGGTTGTTGGTGAGGTCGGGGATGGCCAAGCTGGGCAGAGGCAGAGCCCTGGATGAGGGCGACACGGTGGTGAAGCCAACACGCAGAGCTCCGTTCCAGTTGAACAAATCTCTCTCCACCCTGAGACGAATCCTCTCCTGGACCTTGACCGTGCGGCTGCTGAACACCAGGCCGTTCCTGAACGTGTTCTCGGTCCTCTCAGCCCGTCGAGCCCCCTGACTCAGGCGGACCATGCTACCCACAGCCTGGTCGTGGAAGGTCAGAGGGCCGAGGCAGAGCGGGCCACACCGGTGTGTCGTCTCTGACGCAGCAACTGCAAAGATCCAGAAACACAGTCATGAATCTGGATGTGCAAGCAGTGAAACCTTTTGTAGTCAGATCATGCAGATGTAGTCTGTTGTGCAGGCAGCATCTGCACAACTATGTCAGCAGACAATCACAGCAACAACACGCTGTGATTCTATCTAACACCTGAATGTCATGTAGTAAATCCTTCCATGTAATGCTATGAATGAAAACTGGATCATTTCTCATCACTGAAGTCAAACTCTAATAAGTTTCGGTTGTTGTGAATAAATGACAATAATTTGATAAAATCAATCTCACAGATAAAAGTTTAATTTACACTACAACACCATATTTTTTTTAATTTAAGGTCAAATTGTAAACACATTGCCGAAGTTTTGATTTTGGTGGCACACTAGTTCATTATGTCTTTGACTACATAAATAAAATGTATTTAAGATTTTACAAGTATAAGAGTATATCAAAATTTAAACAAGAAATAATGAAAGTAACAAAGTCTTGTTAGTGTTTCTATGAGGAGCATTTGTCATTTATTAATGGGTTAATAATCAAAGTGAAGGAGTTACAGTCACTGGGATGACTAACTGTGTCTCTCACCAATGACTAAGTGAGGATTTACAGCAAAATGTACAGTTTCTAGGTTTGTCTTATCTCACAGCACAGCTTCTCATTTCACAACAATCACCTGTTTTACAGCTCTTTGCTGTTGCTTTGTTTCTCTTTTTTTTATCATCTCATCAGACTTCTAACAGTGACCTCTTTTTTAATTTACACAATACTGACGTGCTGCAGTGTTATGTAGATTTAAGGAAAAATAAAATCATGGTTTCTAATGATTTAGTTGAATAAAAACACATAAACAGCTACTTTATGTTCTATGAAACCTAAAGCCTACATGTCTGGATCTGATATACATTTACATTGAACATACTGATATTTAAACAATATTACACATCAAGTTCACCTCAAAGACAGAAGAGCAACAATAAATATCTCACCAGAGTTCGTGTTGTCACTGTCCTTCGCCATCTTGAAGAGTCAGAGAGTAAATACTTTTTCGTTTCACGTCCTGATAGATGTGCTCACGTCTGTATCTTGGTACGTTTGTCATGAAGCGGGAGTGTCTTCTGGTTTTAAACGCAGGCTGCACGTGTGGTTTCCAAACACAAACACTGCCTGAAAAGGGAAAGAGGAGGGGCCGAGGGAGGAACCAAACTTTGGAAATTTACCTGCTGCCAGCATTTCTTTGGTGCTTACACTTCTGTTTATCAAAGAAAAAAAGAGCAGAATTACAGACATAAAACTATAATGTGAGGTCTTGAATTGTGTGATTATTTCTCCATGCAGACTTGTTTCTCTTTAATTATTTGTCATTGCTCTGTGATTGTGTTTTATGCTGAAAGACAAAGATCAAAGAAAACATGTTTATGTATATTTCTGTCCAACTGGCAGGTTTTTCTCTTTGTTGAACTTTGACACTGCACAGTTACCAGTTTGCATTTTTCCTTTCAGCTGAAGTGACTCTGATATTCAAATATCTCTACATTCCCGTCTCGCCACTGACCTCAATATTCTACCAGAGCAACACAACAATAGTTATGAAATGCATTCTTTCAGTAATGCACATAACAGATCATCTGATACATGGATTCACATTACGGAAAATTCCACCAAATTTTGTAGATCTCTTCCCTGAAGGACTCAGGAAACTCCACACATAGTTACATGATGACAGCAGACACATGTACACACTGTAAAATTTCCTTTGTGGCTCTCCTGTGTGTAAATAAGAAGCTTTGTCGCCCTCTACAGGACATGCGTGCTGGGGTTTCTTTAATCCTCATTGGTTGACTGTCCTGGCCCTGTGACCGGATGAGGCCATAAGTAGACACCCACAGTGAGATCATCACTCCTGGAAAGTTACTAACGTTTCTCCTGATATGAGCAACCTTCACATGACTTCTTCCTAGAAATCCTGTCCCACATCCTGAAGGTCACGCTGCAGATGTATCAATAGAAATACCAATTTATACCAAAAGCTAAAAGTGTTGGCTTGTTTTAATATGAATTCCAACTGACCTGTGGACCAAATATTAGATTGTAGGTGTGGATTTTTTTTTTTTTTTTTTGCTTTTTCATTCAATAATGAAATGCCCTCTTAACATAACGTAGCTGAAGCAACATGTCTGTAATTTATCCCCTCAGTTCAAAAATAAAAACAAAACGTATCAAGTTCATCATACAAAGTGAAGTAGAATCAAACACTGAGACATGTTAAAGCAGCTGCATCGTGGGAAAGGAAATGGTTTTTGCTGTTGCAACAGATGAAACTGAAGTCTGTCTGAGATCAAGTCTGGACAACATCTGCCCTCCTGCAACAATTACGCAATATCATGAGTAAGAAAAGTATTCACATAAGATCTGTTACCCAAGTTTTACACTTGGATATAGATTACAACAAATTATTTAATGTTGTTAATGCAATCTAATATAAATGTAATAAAATTTCAAACAGTTAAAAGAAACTGTTCGGAATTTGGGGCAACTGTAATATTTTAAAAATGAAATATTGATATGTTAACGATTTAGAAATGATGATATCGTCAATAATGTAGCTCCATTCAACTCTCCAGCACTGCAACAACATACAGGAGTTATCAATAGACATCTCTGCATTTCCCTACACCTTATTATGAGCATAATTCAATTGCCGAAAAAGATCAGAAAAACACACAAAACAAATTTAAAGATGAATTTGACTGATTGCGTTATTTTATCTTTCAAATTTTGTATCGATATTAAGTCAATATTGGCATCATGGATTTTTTTTTCAGCCGTAATCAGAATCAGAATGAGAAATACTTCATTTATCCCAGAGGGGAAATTCTTTTTCATTACATGCACGTGAATAAAGATAGAAATATAATAATAAGAGTAAAATAAAGAATGAAAAGATACATCAAAGGTAACAGAAAAATAAATATCAACGTACAGAAATGTCAATATCTAAAAAAACAATAATAATCACGTTGTGAAAATCCGACATTGTGACGACCCTAATATGAATTATTTCATCTACAAAACCTGTGTTTCAAACACTCAGAATCAGAAGTATAATAAACTTGAGGATCTTTGAATGTTGTGAACTGTCTCATCATTTGCTCTCCGTTATGTCATAATTTAACGTTTAAAGAAGTTCAAGTTCCAGATTTAGATTTGATGATGTTGCTAAGACTGAAAACCTTTTCGATGACAAATCAAATCGGACACATTTCTGAATATGAGGAGACAAAATATAATGATCAATTTCCCATACGTTCCAGAATATGTATGTATGACCTCAGATAAAAAAATATTTTAATTGTATCATAAGTGTAGATTTTATTTCTCTTAAACAGTAAGAAATCATGTTTTGTTTTTGTTTCACAGCCACTTTTCCTTGGTGTTGAATCAGGAAACACAGCAGCCCTCCTTCATCTCCTCCTCTGTGTGCTCCAGCTGCAACACACTTGGTCAGACATGGCAGGCCATCAAAAAATCTACTTGTTCCCACTCCACCTGTTCAAAACACTATTAATCTGCTGCCTTCCAATAAAAGGCTTGGCTTCCACCGAGGAGCCAATCGAAAGGCATCGAAGCTGTGAGACCCAGGCCAATCCCAGGCTGCATTCTAATGTGGCCTATCTTTATCAAGGTGCCACTCCATTTCCAGATACTGCTTATTTATGATTTCTGAGGAGAGAGGCGGCAGGAGGCATATGTCTTCAGGAGAACACTAAAATCCTTGTCCGCTGGACTCGACTGAGACTTCAGATATGGAGCTATCAACCGTCACACTGGACAAGAAGAGGTGAAAGGCGAAAGTTTCTCTGCTGCTACGCTGTTTCTGATGTGGTGGCAACTTTGACAGACACCAGGGACATTGTTAAAATTGCTATTAGTCATCGTAATTGTTTGAATATCTGGGGACAGAGGGTGTGGTAGCAGATCCAGATATCGCCTGTGGGTGAGAGAAGCCCTTCTTTGGCCATCAGAGGTCTTTTCCTGCTTGGATCTTACTGGATGTGTTGCTGATACCTGCAGGCAGTGCCTCCCATGGATCCAAACATCCAGGGATCTTTCCTGTTCAACAACAGCCTGAACCAGTTCCCCTCCGACCTCAAGGCGCCAGTGTGCCAGTACTCAGTGCCCAACTCTTTCTACAAGCTCAACCCGGGCCTGAACAGCCAGCTGCAGCCGGGGACGCCCCACGGCATCAGCGACATCCTGAGCCGCTCCATGGTCGGGGTGGGCTCGGCGGGCACCACCACCCTGCTGTCCGGATACTCCGCCATGGGGGGGTTCGGCCCCTCCGTCACCAGCACGTCCATGTACTACAACCGAGACTACAACTCGTCCCTGGGCGGCTTCTCCAAGCCGGGCACCGAGTGCCCCATGAAGGCTCGCAGTGTGAGCTGCTGGGCAGAGAGCAGCTGTGAGTGGAGAGGAGGGAGGCAGCAGTGCACCAACAGTGAGTCTGAATCCTGCAGACCGGACTCATCAGCATCCACATCGTCAGCACAGAGCAACTTCCCCGAGTCTGTCAGTGAGGACTCAGCTGGAGACGCTTTAGAGACGAAGAAAACTGTAGAGTCATTCTAGTCAATCAGATTTATAATGTGAAAAACTTATACGCAAGTACAGAGTGTGGGTATGATGTTGGATTTAGGAAAAACTTTCATCTGTTTTATTTTTTCTTTCTCGATTGATGTGTAGATTTGAAGTAAAATATCTCAGACTTAATGTCTCCAAAAAAAATCCAACTAGAACTTCTACGGGATGAGTTCAAATGTTTTTTCAAGCAATCAGTCAAACATGTATAAAATATAACTCAGATAGCATGGAGGTGATTTGTAGCTGATGCAGGAAACAACAGTGTGTATTAACTGATGCCCTGATTTGTAACCGTATCAAACACTGAAATTCAGTTGATGCGCAACAAATACATTCAGTCTATAATGCAGATCATCTGTGGTCATTCTGTCTGGTTATACACACGAAACTAAGCCAAATATTATTACAAATTGTCATATTTCAGTGCAGAAGGTTCAGTCCTGTTCTATAATGAAAGCTGTTTTTGTCTGTGATGTGATTTTTCCAGGCGGTGCTCCTCTTGGGGAGATGTCCAGCAGGAAGAAACACACCAGACCAACATTTAGTGGACATCAGATCTTTGCTCTGGAGAAAACCTTCGAGCAGACCAAGTACTTGGCCGGGCCTGAGAGAGCAAGACTGGCGTATTCTCTGGGAATGACTGAATCACAAGTCAAGGTAAAGTTTAAGACGGCTGTCGATTAAACCAGACTTCTGTGAGGTGCCAGTGATGCTCTTTTTAGATTTTATGCTTTTTCTTCGTGGTCATTTCAGTGTTTTTGTTGGATTGGATTGTTCTATGTGCACTTGTGCAGTATCCTGGAAGTCTAAATCTGAAAGATGCAACAGAAATGAGGTCAGCTTCTTTATTTTGGATGTGTGAAGAGATAAAATCTTGGCATGTGAGTTATTTGACTGCATCAGGAGGTGAAACAAAAACAGTTCTATCAAATACCCACTATCGTGCAACAGAAAAAAAAAAAAATTGCATCAGGGATTGTTGTCATGCCTTTCTGGCTTTCACAATGTGTGCAAACAAGATGCAAATTGTTTGAGCAACCCAGTTTCATGCACCACGAGTCCCACCCACAGACCGAAAACATGGTCCCGCTGTGTGTCAGGTGTGGTTTCAGAACCGACGCACCAAGTGGAGGAAGAAGAGCGCCTCGGAGCCCAGCTCCACGCAGACCAGCCACGCCGGCCAGGGCGGGGAGGCCTCGGAGAACGAGGTGGAGGACGAAGAGTACAACAAGCCGCTGGACCCCGACTCTGACGACGACAAGATCCGACTGCTGCTGCGCAAACACCGCAGGGCTTTCTCCGTGCTGCGCCTGGGGCCGCACCACGTCTGATCATGCGCACTAGAAAACACGTAAACACACTTTAACACTCGCTCCTCAGCAGACCTGCATGCTGTAAGAAATAGGATTAGTTTGGAATACAAAGTTTGAACGGCGAGCATGTTCAGAAGAGGTCCAACAAAAGAGCAAAACAGGGTTCATTAGACCAACAGGCTGTAGAAAAATAAGCCGAAACATATGTTTACTTTTATAAGTTACTGTAAAAAAAAAAAAAAAAAAAAAAAAAAATCTACACTGTTACTGAGGATCAAACTGTTCACATTGTTTTGTAAAAAAAAAAATAATAATAATAAAAATGAGACAATGAGATGAGAAAAAAAATCTGCATGTTGGTAATAGGAATAAATAAATAAGAGTAACCTGACGTTGTTCATGTGCTCTGTTTGGCCAGCTGAAGCTCTTTGTGATTATTATTAATAATCTCAAAATGAATCTCTTCTAAAAAACCCCCATGTGCCATATGTGAATTAACTTTACAAAATGTCCATTCTCCATCAGTACTGGATCATAGTAAAGGTAAAAACAAACGCTTTGCACCAAAAAAGAAGAAAAAGAATCAAGAATCAATAGCAAATATTCTCAACCTGTTCAGTCAAAACTTTGAAAAACAGAGCAATGTTGCTTGATTTATCTTTTTAAAAAAATCATAATTTTACTTGTTCCAGACACTAAATGTGACTTCCTTTGCACATGGTTTCATCACAGGTCTGCACACTCAAACACATCAGGTTTAAAGGAAAGAATTTGTGTACATTTGCATCGACAGACGTGTTTGCATATTGAACCGTCATGGAAAACATTTAGAAGGAAACAGGCTCCCTTCACATGCAATTATCGGTTTGATATTCTACAAGTATGATTTGTAATCCTGCTAAATGCTTTCACTGAATGTTGACTTGAAGTTGGTTAAAAATACATGTCTTGTTTTTTTTTCTTATCGTCTTTTACTCGCTTTTGAAATATATTGTAAAAACATTAAGGTGTACGATGTAAAAGGCACCTGAAACCGTGCACAATAAATTATTGTGAGTTATTTATCAAACTGGGTGGTTAATAATCTTGTCTGCTTTTAAATTTGTCAAAAATCTGACTGAAAAATGCGTCATTCGGCTGCAACGGCTCAGCTCGGGCCGCTGTGTTAGCAGTGAAACGACAGTTAAAATGGAACGGAGGAGAAAGGCACAAAAGCTGAAGAGAAGAGCAGAGGTCAAAGGTCAAAGCTTGTGTGATTTAGTCGTGTGGTACGGCTTAATTGAAGACAATGACCGCCCCCCACCCCCGGCAACCCACTTCAACGTAAAATCAATACCAACAGACCGGTTTGGTCACCATTTGGGATCAGTGAGTTCAGGACCCACATGGTTCATTTACCTGACATCAGGCCGGATGACTCAGTGAAACGAAGTGTCGAAGGAATGCTGCTGAGACGAGACGGTCCTGCCCGCGTTGAGAAAACACTCGTACGTAGCTGGAGACTTCATACTGTTTGCTTGAGCTGATGCAAGTCGCACAAATGACCAACTCTGCCCTTAGAAAACAAGCTTAGAGTTTCCTTTATGTCAGCTGAAACAAAAAGTAAAAACTAGTCTTTAGACTAAAAACAAAAAATTGTGCTGTCTACTTATAAAATTAACTAAAATAAAATTAAGTTTTCTGTCAACAAGCATGAGCACGCAGACGTCTTAATGTCGCTCCTGACAAATAGCCTCCATTTGTCATTTAAACAACTAAAACTTATACCGAAAGCAAAAAAGGAAAAAAAATAAGAAAATTGTTTATACCATTAAGAACACAACTCAAAGGAGCAAACATTCTCTTTAAACCAACTGAAACTATAATCGATATGAGTTATTCTAGAATAGAAATAATTTATTGACCCCCAAGGGGAAATTCTGTTTGTTTACTTACAATTTATTTTATTTAATTGCATGACCCAATTTAGTTTGGATCATCCAATTGTTTAGCAGTTATCAAGTATTATAAACACCAGTTTTAGTCTTCTCCCAATCTGCTGTTACCTGGGAATTTAAAACAAAAAAGATTTATTTGAGTCATACAACTGAATCAACACGAGAATGAAACGGTAATAAAGGCACGAATCAGTCATGAATTCAGCAGGTTCTTGATTTGTTGGGAGATTTTCAATCTGAGCAAAATGTTCCAAATCGCCAGCCAATTCCAGCTTCACAGTGCAGCCTTAATACCTCGTCTGTTTTAGTTCTCATTTTTCTGCTGCCATAAAATAGGTGCAGCTCAGCCCGCGGCCGAGCTCCTTAACTATGGAGCGTGAATGTTGAACACACAAGTGTGCAGGCTGGGCTGCTGATGCAGGCTCAGTGTTGACCTACACAAAAGTCACATATTTCTCATGTCAGTAGAACATAGTGATGATGTAAAATGAAAGAATAATTCATTCACTTATTGTACTCTAATGGGTCCCTGCAGTGTAAAGGTGTTGATCTAAAGGCAGAAAGACAGCAGCAGTCAGAAGGCTGCAGTCTGTGGCACGCAGACCTTAACCTAACCTTTCAGGTTTATCAGCCCTCATATAGGAAATAAAACCACAGACGCACAGCGAACGCCTTTCACACTGCACTTCCCCAAACAGGTATGACCTGAATGAACTGTGACTGCAAACCGTCAAACGCGTGCCATGAATAACAACGAAACATTCTTCTGAGGGTAACGTTTTATTTACAAAAGTGAAATAGCACAAAGATGTAGTGTCTTACCAGAGTTAATCTAAAGGTAATACTGACCTTATAACAACTCGGCTCCTGTAACAACAACAATCCTCGATGAGTTTTTTTTTTAAACTTACAAACAGTTTCAATCTACACAGACATTTGCATCACTGTTCCTCGTTACGGTGTACAAACATGACATTGACAGTCCAAACTCAATACCTGTAAAGGTATGCATGGAAAAAGCATTTTGGTACCAATATAGGGAGTGTACTGTTACATCAAGTCATGTAAGTTTCACAAAACACTCAAAAAAATTAAGATAAAATAAGTAACAAACGTATTTTAAATCCACTCAATTAGTCATTATTAAAGCCAGATCAAAACATCAAAATACAGCTACAGTACAGACTACGAACCAAGAACATGAAATAAGACGTAAATCGAAGGAATCCGAGAGCAAACAGTGCCTCTGTGTTGTGTGTGTGTGTGTGTGTGTGTGTGTACTGTATACATACAGGACTTTGTTGTGTTTGTGAAGCCATCCACACGGAAGTAAACACAAGAGGAGTATGGTGTGATTCTTTTGGCAATGAAATGAGGTCGACACCAACCAAAAAACAGGGCGGAAGAAATGTCTGTGCAGACGACGTGCAGCAAAGACAAACTGCCAAAAATCACTTTCTTTGAGTGAGGACCGTTACGACTGACAAAATGAAAACTGCTGGCTTGTGGAATAAAGCACTTGGTTTAAAGTACAGAAAGAATATGACTGCAAGTACAAAAAAGGTAAAACATTCTTTCTCTACGTTACGGTGAGCTGAATACAGCTCCTACCACAGCAGATGGAAACTGCCGTAGATGTTTTGTTGTTGCTATAAACGTTTTTTGTTTTTTTTTTACCAGTCTAGTGTCATTCCTACATAATGTCACTATTACAAATCCATTCCTTAACTGACATAGTTAAGCGTCGCTGTGTGTGAAGTAGCTACAGGTATTAAGAACATGTCAGTAAAAATCAATCGTAAATGCTGTGAAGGGCAGAAAACTAAACCCGTCAACAGGGAACTGAGAAAGCAGCATCCCTCTATGTGTGTCTCCTGTTGTGTCAAATGTTACTGTGATAGTAATAAATAAATACCTGAACTAATTAGGGCATAAAATACAAAAATACACGTAGACATTCAGTCAACAGTTAATATTAAAAATCCCATATTTTTTTAGTTTTAATATTTTTATACACACTATGGCTCAGAATAACAAAGTTATTCTTCTAAACCTTAAACTAAACATTGTTACGCTGAGGTTTTATGATCATGATTTCTACTCTAAGTGGCCTGACTGACTCAAAGGTTTAAATAAAATATTCAGGGCCGGTAAGAAATTAGTAAAATTGTAACAACTTGTGTATTTTTTGACTGTGCCAATATAAAAGGCATATGCTCAAAAATGCTACAACTAAAATCACTCGTCTGGAATTTAACAGTGTCGTATGTAAGCATGTACACATTCATCTAACAGGGTCCGGTGCCCTCGGCTGCAGGAGGGCATTCTGGGAACATCCTCGCTGACTCTGAGCTTTTAGGTGAGGGGACTTAAGATCTGAGGATGAGTGGAGAAATCGTAGAACTGCCTTCGAAGTGACAGCTATTTGTGCGCATGGTGCTAAAGCTGTGGTCAACAGCGTGCGACGGTGAGATCAGATGTGAGACGCTGGTGATGTGAGAACGGCGTGGTCGAGCCCTGCGGTTGGATTACCCTCTGTGGACGGTGTGTTTACAGACCTGCAGCAGACACACACACACACACATATATCATAAATGGCACGCCAACAGAAACAAGCACAGGAATCACAGCAGATTAGGGTTCTATTCAGCCAGTGTTAAAATTCTTCCCTCCTCTCCGAGTGGATCAGAGTGCAGATATTGAATGCAGAGGGTAAGGCCACCGACAGTTAGATGCCATTGTAAGATAATCAAAGGTGCGCTCTAACCACACAAGCATACCTCCGTTTAATGCAATGTGAGAAGTATCACGTTACAAGTGGACTGAATTGAACTTTAGGACACGTGAGCTGCTTCACGCATCTTTCAAGCTCCTTCATTGCGTGAATCTCATCATTTTGCAGCTCTCTGATGAAGAACCGTCATGAAAAAGCAGTCCATCCTTTAAAAAAATACATTTAAACGGCAGCAAAACAAAAATCATGGCCGTAAAAATGCCAATACGCTGTCCAAGCACAATGAATGTCCCTCCGGCCGACCATCCGGATGGTAATTAATGAAAAGCGGGCCAGCAATGCACTTAATGTGTAGCCACAGTGACAGTGGAGAGGATTCAATAGACATAGATCAGTGAAAGGTGCTGATCGCCTGTGCTCCAACTACACTGGACACAAAGGAGCGCTTGTGTCCCGCAGGCACTTCATCTTAGTTCATATCCCGACTCCGCTGGGCCAGTCTGGTTATGGCTCTCCAGGGACCGGAGCAAGATTACAGTGATCACTCTCACACACTGAATCTACCCTCTGGAACCACCACACAGACACATCTGCACTCCCACATCTGGTACAGTAAGCACACACCTACACACACACACTCTTACCATGGACAAGGATCCGAGTCAGTGGTCATTTGTCTTCAGTGAGAAGGACAAGAACACAGGCTGTAAGAAAAACAAGAACAGGTGAGAGTCGCTGATGACCGATTTATTACCTGTAAAATATTCATGCTGTTTATTGTTTTTATTGTTTCAGCCGCTACCTTATGGTCTCCCATACAGACGTTAGGACCCACTGTGTTGTAAACAACACTCTTCTCGCCATCATCTCTCTGAAAAAAGATTGAACACTTACATCATATACAGTATTGTTCAAGTAACAAAGCAAAGGAATAATTTCACATTCAACAGTGAAACCTGACAGCTATAGCTTCCTTTACCTAAACATTTCAATTCAATTCATATAACTTTATTTATCCCCTAGGGGCAATTCAAAAGCTCACTGAGTATTTCAAATAAAGATCCATTCATTATCTATACACCGCTTAATCCTCACTAGGGTCGTGGGGGGCTGGAGTCTATCCCAGCTGACTCAGGGTGAAGGCAAGGGACACCCTGGACAGGTCACCAGTCTATCACAGGGCTACACTTAGAGACAGACAACCAAGCACACTCACATTCACACCTACGGACAATTTATAATCACCAATTAACCTCAGCATGTTTAAAAAAATAAAAACAAAAAATAGGCAAAAAAGATAGATGTTTTAATAACCCACATGGTCAAATGTTGCCATGCTCCATGTGAAAAATGACCAGCATATTGGTAATAGTAAATATTGCACTTCAGTGGCTACCACATAGTTTACCTTTCGCTAAACAACTTAACACAATTTGGGGCGACCCCATAGCTGAATGGTTGAGACAAATACCACATCGGGGCCCTGAGCAGCGTCTATAGCAGGCTGTTTTGACATTTAATTGCAGAGTTTGACTATCCAGAAATAAAATAACATACATTATCATCAGCAAGTAGTTTGTAGAGAACAAGAAACTTGGGTATTTGAGACTCATGGTTATAAAATGATGGCTAAAATGAACTAGAAGGCTGTGCTGACGTGGTGGTAAAACGATTTGTCATATGCGAGTACAGCTGCCGTGCTACAGTTAGTTTGAAAACCAAGTCATCCCTGCCTAAAAAATATTTGCATTATTTCACCTCGTCAATACATTTTGATGAGAATTAGGGTTACAACAATGTCATCCTGACTCGTTCAAATTTAATTTAAGATATTTAAAGCACAATGCAGATATCATGAACTGAAGGGAAATACAGATACCTTCAACAAGAATAATGACCTGTCAGGATTAAACTGTGGAAACCTGAAACTGGAGTTATTACTAGTTGCAATGTAAATTAAAAATATCCTCCTGAGAGCTGATTAAAAAAAGAGCGTTTTGCTGCAGTCTCCATTTTGTCTCAGCATGAAAACAAAGTTCCCCTCATCCCACCCAAACACAGGAGATATCATTGGAAAGGCCAGGATGTCCTCTGTCTGTTGAGCACATCAGGACTTAGGAAGGTAGCTCAAGTGAGTCAAAAGACACAGATGGAAAACAAAAGTCCACTACAGAGGCGGTAAATTCATAGGCCTGGTCTATAAGGAGATCATAAAAACAAATAAACTGTAAACTGCCAACATCTTTGTACACAAGTGACATCATTTGTCCTTACAAAAAGGAAGACATATTTATCTGAAATGCCAATGGTTTACAGGAAGCATGACATAGCAGATATCTGAAATGCTCTTTTTGAAGAACTGAATCACAGATATCTGCTATGCTTATCCAGTCTAACTGCTGAATGTTATACACCCCTACTCCCTTTCCCCACATTTTCTTTCTCTTTCCACTATAAATTAAAGAAATAAACATGCCTTTAGGTTCTGTTATTCTTCAAAAAGAAACTTAGGGTGTAAAATCAACATGCACAAAGTTAGCATTTTCATCTGTAAACACAGTGACAGTAAACAACGACTGACCCTGTGGATGAAATCTTGGGCAGCGTGTGACATGAGGATTCGATCACACCACGCAGGACAGCGAGTGTTCATGTACTGGGTGGGTTTGGTGTACTCTTCACTGTACGGGTAGCTGAGGATGAGGCAACAGAGAAAAGAAACCTAAGTGCATTTAGAGGAAACAAGCAGAACAGTGGGTGGAGGAAGTAGGTCAGGTATGAGTCTTACCTTGGTGGGAATTTAATGTCCTCTTCCCTTAATATGTCATGAAAGGCTGCAACCTCTTTGTCATACTTTAAAAGCTGAGAAACAGAGTTAATTACTGGTAAGCAACACCGGAAATTTCAAAACATAAAAAGCAAGAGAAAGCTATCTCAGTTTCATTCAACACTGTTTTGTTTGTTTTTTCTTTTACTGCACTGTTTATGGGACTTTACTGCCACTGATATGAGCTAATCTAATCTGTGAAGGCATCATGTTGTTGTAAAGCAGCCAGACTTTCCCAGTAGAGTAGCCGACGTGATCAGTGTGGGTGATAGTTTAGTTTATGATCTTACTGCTCTGCCATTGTCTTCTCTGAAAACCGCCTGGTGCAGGTAAGCGAACAGCTTCTCTTCAATCTGGAGCAGAACCTGCAGGTGAAGTGAAAGTAGGTCACGTGAGCGCACACGTAAAAACATTATTGGTTATCTTGACTGGTTCTTTCATCACCTTGTGGTCATTGTCTTTTTCTTCGCAGATGATTTTCTCCACTTCGTTACTGCTATCCTTCTTCACTGTCTGCACATCTGTCGCGGTGGATAGATGCTGGTCGCAGAAACACACACACACACAAAACAGGGTATATGTCAAAATGCAAGATTGATGCATTTCATTTTTAGCTGAGCTTTTGGGGGAAAACGAATGCTGTTACACACCTGGAACAGAGTAAGTGCGTCCAGACGGAAGTTGAAATCTCCAAACACGAAAAAAGGCAGGGGAGTGTAGCGGTTGTCTGATATCCTGCAATGAGATTCTTCTGTCAGGTGTCACAAGCCTCACATTAAAATCATCATGATTTTAGGTTAGTTTGATGTCTCTTTGTATGATAGTAGATGATAAACATATTCAATTCATTAAAGTTATTTAGTCAAGCCTTAAATTGTACTTTTACAGTTAACTCACTGTCATTTTGAACATCTAACTGCCATATTTTTTTCATAAATGTACGCAGCTGCAAATCTAACCTGTTGATGACATATCTGAGAGCGTTTTTACGGTTGGCTGAGTAAATAGAAGGGCTGGATTTGCAGGCAATGAGGTTGGAGGCATCGTGGAACAGGTGGACATTGACCAGGTCCAGACCTCTGCAAAAACACAAGCAGGCAAAAAAATGTAAAAAAAAATGTGGAAGGAAGAAAACAGTAAATAATCTGATAACACAAAAACCTGACATCAGATAGGTGAATGTATGTGTGGGTGTGTGCATGTATGTGGGTGTGTGCATGTATGTGTGTGTGTGTGCCAATCCAGGTGTCACTTATGTTGAGTTTTCTTATCAATGAGTGTGCTTGTGTTCATGCTGAGTCCACAAGCGAGCACATTTGTCTTCTGTGCCAAACATTCACTTCCTTTGTTTGGCTGTCACTGGAAAACAACTAATGTGCATCCAGCAAATGAGCTGTGTTGACTCACAGGATGATGTTGTGGCACATATAAGCAGATTGTGGGCTCCTTTTGTTATCACCCGCAGGTAGAAACACAGCAGAGCAAACAGTGACTACAATTCACAGGAAACGCAGGCTGTAGCAGCAGCACCATGTGATTTTCCGGGTTCTTTTTAGGGCTGTATTTATCCCTATTTAAATTCAGGGGCTAAAAACAAAACATGTAAATATCTATTATTTGCTAATTAAATAAAGAACGTGTACACAGTCCTGTAACAGTCCACATACAGTCTGGGTTGGTAACACTGCGCCATACTGCAGTGGTATCTATGTACTGCCTGTAAAATAGCATGATTTGAACTTTTTGGCCACCAAACTGAAGATGTTATTACAAAGTTTTGTTAAAACAGTAACAGGAAACATCCCAGAGGAACACAGTGTATAAGAGAAGAAAACAAGATTCTATTGTAGCAGCGATTAATATATGTTTACATGCAATTCTTAGCCTATCCTTGAAACAACTTAATCGTAGCTGCTGAAAATGAAGCTTAAGCAAGATTAGCATGTTGAATGGCATTTGAACTGGTGCTCGGGCTGTTAGTGTCAGTGCCACTGCATTGGAAGAAGAAGAAGTGAATGAAAATACATAGCCTTGATTTGACATCCATTAAAAGGCTGTGTGACACGTTTAAACCCATTCATGAGACCAGAGGAAACAACAGTGTGTTTCTGTTCTGTCACTCGGCTGTAGCCACGCCTGTGCAGGGAGTCAGCAGGAGCCAGGATAAGACGGATACAAGCAAGAGTATCCCAGTTTTTTTCAGAGCACTCTAGCAAGTAATCAGGTCTCTCAAAAGCTGGATGCGGGGTTATCCAGGCTTCTGAAAGCATGATATGATGCTCACATGTGCAAACGCTGCCTTTCAAATCTATTCGAAGATGTGTGTTTTATGAAGAAAGTTCTTTCACAAAAGTCAACAAACAGCCTAACACTGAAAGCGAGTGGAGTTGGTGCAGATCACGTACTGGTCGTGTATGATCCAGCGGGTCCTCATGAAGCCCTTTCTGGACCACTTGAACTGTAACAGAGACAAATTGAGTGAGTCACTAAACAGCAGTGAGCTGTGTCTTTAAAGGGCCAAACTGATAATTATTGATTCAAGCACATAATTTGTCTCATCTCCCTGTCAGAGCTGGCAGACAGCCCCTACAGCCCCAGTAGACTCATTTGTCCCAACATCTCCCTTTGGCCCATCCGTACCCCTCCCCACACTGACACACAAACGCACACATAGGCATACATAGATGCACACTCATGCATACATACTCACATCAGGCCAGAAATTCTTTGGGAATTTTTCTTTCTCCACTGTGGTGACCCCGTCCAGAGAGCCCACACGCTTGGTCTGCCCCGACACTGCTTTAAAATCCTTAGCTGAGAGAGGGAGAGGCAGAAGGAAAGGGGGTTGACATGTAAAAGAGTGAGAAAACATGCAAACAGCAATCAATAAACTGGTGTTAACCTCATCAGAGCGGCATACGTGATGAGAGAATCTATAAGCGGGCCATTAGACTGCGTTTGGTGAACAACAATCGGTTTAGGCCGCACAGCGAGTGGCAGCTCTGGGATGTTTATGGTTCTTCCATAAGCTTTTCTCAGGAGCTTTTTCACACCTAACGTGACTGGACTATGCAGCAGCAAGATAACAGCTCCACTTTAAATTCTAGTTCTTTGCAAATATCTGGCGAGGAGAGGTAGCCATCAAAGTGTCATTATGCACAGAGAAATATCTTAAAAGTAAAAAAAAAAAAAAAAGATTTTTTTTTCAGTCATACACAACAGCACTCTTGCTCCATCAATGGTGGGAGGCATTTATCAGAACAGTGAGTTATGCAATGGAGGTGGCCTGTAATGAGTTCTAAAGTTTAAACATGTTTTGAAAAGGAAAAAACTAAGATATCTATCACAACTTGATGAATAATGAAATTACAAAAAGCAATGTAAATATCACTTGTGAGGAGTTTTTACCTTCAAAGTCATATTGATAGACATTTTGCAGTGTCTTGTGGATGAAGTACATGCTCCCCAAAGCCTGTGGAGAGAAAACAGACATTTTACAACATATTATTTTTACAAGTTTGCACATATTAGATCAGTTTATGTTAAAAAAACACAAGTGTACAGTCGTGAAATGTAAGCACCTAAAACAAACACAGCACATTGCTTTGTTTTCGCAGACAGTTATTTTCATGCACGTGCTGCAAAAAAGACATTTTGACATGTTTTGTCCTGCAAAAAGATCGCAGGTCCTCAATTTAAAAAAAAAAAAAAAAAGTTCCCTAAGCATGTGCATTACTGATTTCAATTTTCAATAACGCAAGTCTGAACTTCATAAAAGCAACAAACTTTTAAATTAAACAATAGAGCTCCACACAGAGTGGAATCTCAGCACAACAAAACCAAAACACCTCAATATCCTCTCAACCGCTGGAATGATGGGCTGATTTGTTCATTTCCCATCACACAATCTGAATTGTGGACCTTGTATTGAACGAAATAGCGCGACGCAGTACATTGCTACCCTCGAAAAAGACACATGAAACTTTAGAGAATAAAAAGACGTCCAAAGTGAACATATAACTGCGCGACACATCCACATGCCGGCCCCTCAGACACACACTTCAGCACCCAATCATCCCTGACATGGGGCTGACAATTTTTAATGTACTAACTGCCTGCTCCACTGATCTGATTAATCATGCCCCGTGAAATCAATAAAGACAGAAAATTAAAACCATTTAAAAGGTATTAAGCAGTAGGCCTGCTGTCTGCCAACGCTGCTGCTGTGACTGGGGGCCGAAGAAAAATCAGCCAGCGCTCAGAGGGCTCGGGGCGTGACGGACCGCTCTGCGACCCTCCTCCCTCTCCCCCCCATCGCAAACATATCCACCCGGAGCATGAGAGATCTCTCCCTGAAGAGATCATTTATCTTGAGTGCCAAAGTCATCCTCATTTAATAAAATGGTGTGTCTCTGTGGTCGGCTCCAGTGAGCGGCAATTAGTGACCAACTTGTATAAACTAAGGTTAGAGCTAGAGGGAGCGATCTGAACAAGTCTGACAGGGTTGCTAACTTAATGCCGACTGAGAAATGGTTGTGTGAAGCAAGTCTAGAAAAGTTGAAACAGTAGATTTAGATTGGAGCAAACTCGTGATTGCTGCGAGAATCGATGCTATATTCTGATAATGAGCTCATCAAAACCCAGATAAATTAGGTCCGGTTTATGTCGGTTTCGCAACTTGTTACATACAGAAAAGTAAACATTACCACACACATCCACGGATACACATTCTCCCTCCACATTCTCCCTCCACATACTCTGCCAAACACCTATCTTCATCAATCAGGTTTGTGCACAGTTTAATAAAAAAATATTGACTTACAAGTGATTTTTTATCAAAACACCATTTGTACTGGGAATGCATGCAAGTCTGCCCCCTCTACTTCTGCAGCCCCTCTGAAAGGAGAACCCCCCAAACTCTCTCTTGGCCATATAACTGATGATCTGCAGCCAAGGGGAAACAAATTGAAAATCAATGCAGGTGGCACAGACGAAATGAGAATGAGGCATTAGGTGGGATTGAGGGGGGGGGCTGCAACCCTCTCAGGGCAAACAGCGGAGGGTGCAAACACTCGAGTGCAGGGGAAACTTAGTCCCAGCTGTCTTCCACCCCCCCGGCACACTTTATTTATCGTGCACAAATGGGCTGGGATCAATAGTTTTAATCTAGAGTTAAATGTATTGACTTTGGCCTGTCTCTCCCACACCTGGCCATTGACTTTCCCGTTTTTACTTCACGCACCTTCAGTCTACAGATGCAGCCATTGACCCCTACTGTCAGACGTCCAGTGTGAGGGTATCACCTGGGAGGAGTGAGGGTTAATAGTTTAAGAAATACTCAACCACTCAACCGCTGGAGAGGTGTTACTTGACTTAACTGGGGCAGAATTTCAAAAAAAATACTAATGCTGACAAACCGGTTCTGACTGTAAACATAGTAGTTCCAAGAAAGACGGAAAAAGCTTGCATGTGCCACGTGAGGCCTGCTGCGCTACGTGAGATCCTATGTGCAACGTGAGGACGCTGGATGCAAGAAATGGCTTCCACGACAGGTGTGGAGATTGAGGCAGAACCCATGACCTGAACGGCATCCTAGCAAACTCTGTAATGGCACTTTAGTCACTTAAAAGCACCAGCTCAGACGTCAGATGTAGAGACAGACTCTGGGTTCAACAACTGATGATGCTAGGAAACGCAGGTAGCCGCATGAGTGACTTAACAAACCCGTCTTTAAGAGCGTCTCTCCGCTCTGTGACCATACTGTGTGACGACAACATTGTTTCATGCTGTGTCTTTAAGATCTATAACGTTAACGCAAGGCAGCGGTTTTCACACGTGAGATTCTACAGTAGAGCCTTGATGCATAAAACCAAACCTCTGAACACAAACACACACACACACACAAACTAAAATCTCCAGTAAAGATGTGCTACTACAGTATGTTCTGATTCCGTATGGGCTCTTGGTTGTGTTCTTCGAGCCGTTTCTAAACAGTTTTTGCATCGAGCCAGGAAGCGCTGTCCAGTTGGGGGAGGCCAAAGCTGTTGGGGAGTGCCGTTGTAAGAAGATGATCACTGGTACAGTACTGTCGTGGCTAATGGGTGTATATGTTTCGTTGTGAGATGTAGAACGTTTTGTAAGAACAGTGAGTTTTAAATTCAACTCAAATTTAATGAAGTATTTCGTGTTTGTTAGCACATTTCTCATTAGGCGTTTTAAATACACAAAAATGAACCAATTATGTGTAAAAATAGCAATTCATTTTGATAAACATACATTTTTGTATCATGCCTGTGAGTACTGATGTTCTGATGTAGATGTAATGTTACCTAACTTTCTCACAAGGGACTTTCCGGCATGGCAGAAACATCAAAGCAATAAGGCTGTAAAATAGTAACTGATCTTAAGTAATCCTGGATGTTCCACTGGAGTTTACTATCGCTTCTGAAATTCAACAGCAATAAAGTGCATGAACACCTCCGGCGACCTCTGAGCACGAACATGGAGAAGGACTCCATCTAGCGGAAGCGCGTAGGAACTACTCCAACTGAAAAGTCTGTATGATTCTTACCGTGAAGCTGTCCTCTGCTTGGAACTGGTTGTCCACATAAATGCAAACCCTGTTGAAGTCTTTCATTTCATCACTGGACTCAATGCTCCTGGAAAGAGCAGAGCATGACAGCAATCAGCAGGATGCACATCAAAATGTTTCTGTTGATGTAGAGCTGGAAGAATTAGCAGTTTAACCATCTAGTCACTGAAAAGGTAATTGGCAGACATCTCAATAGTTATTTGATCAATTTTAGGTTACTTTTTAAGTTAAATGCAAGAACTTTATTCATTCTAGTTTCTAAAATGACTGTAAATTTTGGCTTTTTTTACTGTTGGCCAGATTAAACTTGCTATTTTGACATATCGGAGACCAAACACTTAAATTGTTAATCAAGGACGATGAAAATAAGCGCAAGCTGCAGCCCTATTCTGGTGCATAAAATATTTCAAGAAAGAGACAGGACTGATTTAAAGTTTAGGATAAAATCAATCATCCATCCATCCATTATCTATACACAGCTTGATCCTCACTAGGGTCGCAGGGGGGCTGGAGTCTATCCCAGCCGACTTAGGGTGAAGGCAGGGGACACCCTGGACAGGTCGCCAGTCTATCACAGGGCTACACTTAGAGACAGACAACCAAGCACACTCACATTCACACCGACAGACAATTTAGAATCACCAGTTAACCTCAACATGTTTTTGGACTGTGTGAGAGGAAGATGGAGAACCCGGAGAGAACCCACGCTGCACGGGGAGAACATGCAAACTCCACCCAGGTGTCCTCACGATATATCGGCGACCACATCAGTATCGGTCAATGTTTTTTCCCATATATCGGTATCGGTCCAATGAACAAATTTGGCAGATGTGAAAAACTGATGATTCATCTCTACCTTGGATATTGCTGCTATTTCACGGATGTTTTTACTCGAAGGGTCCTGGACTTGAACATTAAATATGTTAAAATATGTTTTAATTTTGTTATGTAATAAAGAAGATTTTGTGGTCTATTGGGCTTCTTTTGAATAGTTTTCACGTTCTCACAGTGCTTACTTATACTCATTTTTCTGTGTGAACAAAAATTAAATATCAATATTGGTAATATCTGTTGTCGGTGATAACAGCCATTTTAATATCAGATATCCCATCGGCCAGAAATTTTAATATCGTGCATCACTAATAAAAAACCAAAAGAAATTGTTGCCATGCAGCTAGGTATTAAGAGCCATTTAAAATCACATACATCACAAAGGAAGAATGTGACTTTACAGGGCAACATGGGTTATATTCAGCACATTAATCCTACCAGAAGAAGTTTTCTGCATGGCCCATGTTGGCCATGTAATCCTTCCCTCCCACCTCCTGGAAGTGCAGGGCGATGAACTGCGGCTTGTGGCTGTGGATAGTCTGTTACAAAGCAAAAGCAAACAGTCTCAGACTAATGTACAGGCTTACATTACAGAGTAAAGAAGAGGGTCAGCATTGTGTGTTACAGGATGAACTTAAGTATCCATTAGAAGTCATGCTTGGCCTCATGTTGCTATGTTATCACCTGTCAGCACAGTGTCAGTTTTCCAGAGGAACATGGAGCACTTGTGTATACTGGGATGTCATGGGTGTAATGAGGCCAGCCAACTATAAAGCTGGGCAAGAACCATCAGCTTTCATGTACGTAAACTTCACCAGAATGTCCACAAATTTTGAGACAAAAACTTGAGAGTACTGGGCAAAAATATCACACAAAATGTGAATAAATAATGAAAGAGGTAGAAGGCTCAACCTTACCTTATACAACTCTTGTAACCATTCATTTTGAATTTCACCCAGCTGTGAAATGAGAAAAATCATCAAATGCATGTTTAGGGTAAGGAAGCACAATGACAAACATGATCAACATTAACAGGCAGATAAAGCTCTTCAGCCTAAAGGTTTACGGTTTGGGGTGAAAATGTTAAAGTTTTATTATGTTGTGCAGTGAACAAGCACATTTGAAAACCATTGTATTCTGTCTCCATCATGATAAGAGCAGTTAATTCCACCACAGGAGAGACTTGCTGCTCACGGCAATTAAGTAGAAAAACTTGTAAATATTGAGGTAGAAAATTTGCCAAAATGAAAAAGACAGTGCTAGTCATGAGAGTATAATTTATTCATTCAAGAACCTGTAACTTGGACAACAGAAGGGATCAACTGACCACAAACATTCAGAAATAGGCTATTGAAGGTAGTCACAAAGACAAGGTGGATGGGCTACATTTAGAAAGACATCCATGGCAAATGACTAAACTCTCTCCTCCTGAGTCGTTCAATTATGATCAAGTATTTAATTACTAATAAAGCTGCTCTAATGCCTTGTGGCCTCTAGATGTCCCTGTATGAACAAGAATCTGTGTTTCTAATTTTCACCGATTCAGAAAGCTGCATTTGAACAAACCTGGGCCTGAACAACTCAAAAGATTTAAAATTGAAATTGCAGTTTGAAAAAAATGCAAATAGCAAATTTTAAAGGCAGCAATTGTAATTTTGTAAATGAATGCATTTTCTCCTTGTGTCACCCATTTCATGGTATGTTATGTGGTAATGCTTCATCAGATTTTTATTCTATTATGCAGTGAGTATGGAACTAAAGCTTAAAAAATAAATAAATACATCACAAATAAAACTGTCACTAAGATGGACAAGATACAGTGGTATGAAAAAGTTTGGGCATCCCTTACAATTTCCATTATTTCCATTTATCCATTTATAAATCATTGGGTGTTTGGATCAGCAACTTCATTTTGATTTATCAAAAAAACTGATGGACACAGTAATATTTCAGTAGTGAAACTAAGTTTATTGGACAAACAGAAGATGTGCAATATGCATCAAAACAAAATTACACAGGTGCAAAAATTTGGGGACCCTTGTCATTTTGTTGATTTGAATACCTGCAACTACATAGCGGGTAGTTGGTAGCACTGTTGCCTCGCAGCTAGAAGGTCGCCGGTTCACGTCCTGGTGGGGGCACCGGGATCTTTCTGCGTGGAGTTTGCATGTTTTCCCTGTGCAGCGTGGGTTCTCCAGCTTTCTCCCACAGTCCAAAAACATGTTGAGGTTAATTGGTGATTCTAAATTGTCCGTAGGTGTGAATGTGAGTGTGCTTGGTTGTCTGTCTCTAAGTGTAGCCCTGTGATAGACTGGTGACCTGTCCAGGGTGTCCCCTGCCTTCACCCTAAGTCGGCTGGGATAGACTCCAGCCCCCCCATGACCCTAGCAAGGATTAATTGGTGTATAGATAACTACTTAGCACTGGTTAATTGGAACTTGGTGAGCTCAAGCCTTGAACTTCATAGAGAGGTGCATCCAATCATGAGAAAAGGTATTTAAGGTGGCCAGTTGCATGCTGTGTCTTCTTTGAATCTCCTGTGAAAAGTGGCAACATGAGGGTCTCAAAACATCTCTCAAATGACCTGAAAGAAAAGATTATTCAACACCCATCCAAACACCCAATGATTTATAAATGGAAATAATGGTGCCCAAACTTTTTCATACCACTGTATCTTCTCAGGGGTTTTGGTCAAAAAATCTTGTAAATTTCTATTTTTAGGAAACTTTTTAGGTCACTCCTGCCTTCAGAACAGACTACAGTCCATCTGTCACACTGATTGTACGGTTTATGTCTGTCACTACTCATGAATTGGGCAGTGAAGGAAATCATCTCTACGATCTATCTTTATATTTTCAAATGTATGCTTTGACATACATAAATGCTGAAAGGAAAGGATGCAGAATTACAGCATGCAACAAAATAAGAGAAATAAGACAAGAAACATCTTTTGTTGTTGTTGTTGTTTGAATACACATTTCAAGATGAAAACAGGGAAGCGGCTACTTTTTTTTTTTTGACTGCTATAAAAAAAAAAATTACCCATTTTTCTCTGTCTTTGGTTCCCATCCTTATGATAAAACATGATACTGAATGCAAGAATGATACCTGTACCACGTCTACCAACTCCTGAAAGACGTATCTCACTCCTCAGCTGCTAAAATATATTGATGTCCTGGTGATTAAATGCTTATGAAACGGTGTGTAGAAGAAATGTAAAGCTTTATGCTACTCCTGTAACCTTCAATAAGGTGGCCAAAAAGGCTCTACCCCCTTTACCATCACTTCATAAAATAACTAAAAACGTATTTCTCTTGTTTGTTTTTCATTAACCTACACCTTTGTTTTTCAACTGATTCGGGGGTCAACAGGTGTGAAAGGAGGCCATGGCAGCAGCAGACTAGTGCATCTTGGGAGACCTGCAAAGCAGCTATGGGAGAACAACGGAGAGTGATGGGGCTGTTGTTGTTAGGATGTTGTTGTGATTACTTCATGAAACTGAGCTTTGTGTTTTTGTTATGTACTTTCATGGTGGTTTGCAGATATTGTGAAACTATCGAACATTTTATCTGACAATTTTTTTTTTATTGTACACATAATGTAGGTAGTATAGGCTATGTTATCTATGGCTCTGACACACACAGATTACAAGAAGCTGAAAACAAAAATACTTTTTTGCCAACTGTTCAAAACTTTAACGAAGCTGAAAAATCCAACAAAATTTTGGCCATCTACAAGAGAGAAAAACGAGAGAAGTCTTAAGGAAACAATTGTGACCAGGCAAGTTCTAATTATTCTTTCATGTCAGCTTGTGTTGTCAAAGTGCCCTCAAAGACTATTAATTTGAATGAGCAGTGAGTCAGTCATTGCTATTAGCAAAATTAGTGGCTGAAAAACAAAACAATGGGCTCCATAGAGCCCAGGGGCCCTGCAGAAGCATGTAATCATTATCTGAGTATTTATAAAGGCAAATTTGAAGATTGATTCATGAGCCAGTGATAATCATAATATTGTATCCTATAAATGAAAAACAATGTAATTATCAATGACAAAGAATAATTACAGCTTTGACAAGCCACCAAACGAGTCAAACGGAGGTCAGGAAGTCATCAGTCACAAGCTCTGTTCAAGGTAAAATCAGCAACGATTGCCTGAAAATGTTATTCTGAGAGTTTTGTTGGTTTTGTGTTCCAGGATGCAGTCTCATTCAACTGCACTGTAACAATCTGCCCTGCAAGAACACATCATCTGTGAAAGTGTGTTTAATATTGCACGGCAAGTTGATAGTTGAGTATACTGTAAAACATGTATGAGAAAAGCAGACGGATAAACCTTACACACAGCAATCTGTCAAACGAGGTTGGACTGTTCCTCGTTTGGAACAAGTAGATTTTCATTGGCGCTGTAGGTACTAACACCAAAGGCTGCACACTCTTAGTAAAACATTAATTAATGTAATCTGAACAAATAAAATCTGTTTTCTTTTGTGCACACTTTCTCACATTAGATCTTTTTCTGCTCGTTAAAGTTCAGTTTATCACTGAACTCTTCCTGGTATATTGACATGTGTAGATGGTAACTGATGATATTATCCAAGGTTGTCGTCATCATGAAATTCATGGCTTAAATGTCTTTTTCTGTTCATTTTTATGCCTCTATTAGTTTTATATTAGTGGTATTGGCGACTTTGAGCACCACCCTTTTGCTGCAAATCAAACAAATTGCCTCTTTGGTTTTTGGTCTCTCCTTTTCTCATTTGCCTGAAAACCACAACGTGCCCACAACAGGGCTCTGGTTCTTGGATTTGCAATTAAAATGCCAGTAGACGCTCATTGAAATGCAGTCAGTCAAATGTCAAAAGTGCCTCAACAGGTGGTTCCAATAAATCATAGCCACAGAAGCAAACAATGGAAAACAATATGGAAATGATGGCTGAAATATGACACTTTTGTTAGTTTCATCCAGATGCTTAAAAAAAAAAAAGTGAATGGAATTGATTCTAATGGAAAACAAACTGATTACAGTCAGTTTGAATCATTTCAATCAGGTGATTATGTAATAACTTTGGTAAATATTATCCAGAGCCCAGCGCAAACAGCATGATGTACTAAACCTTGTCAACAAAAATAAAAACATATTTAAAAAAAAAACAAAAAAACAAAACACTTGATGGGATCCACAGGGTGTGATCAATATCCCCCCTAATGAGCAGTATGACACTCTAAAAGTAGAAGTTTCTTTTGTTTGACTCTGAAGCTGAGTACTCTGGCTTTGAAACCCTCTGAGAGGTACATCAATTATCAGCTATCCCTTAAACTAAACTAACTCGTCATTTATTACACCGGTGCTTCCGATTTTGCCTCACAGTTTATTCCCGGAGTAGTGTGGAGTCTCCTGTAAGACCAGGTACTCTCATACCACCTGAGAAATAACTTTGCATAGCACATTTGCATGACAGGAATGACAGCAGCTCAGCCATTATGACCTGAGAGACTCCCTCTCACATCAGTCTGGCTACCAACACAGTCTTTATGCTCTCACGAATACAAACACATACCACTGGCTCGGTTCTCCAACCCTAATTCAACCCGAGAGATTAAGTTCATGCAGCAGTTTTCTTCTGCTTGGTTATCACGAGTCAAAAATAGATTAAAATTAAAACATTGAAGCAGTAAAACAGCAACATTTAACATTCACAATCCAGCAATTAGACACTGTATATGTTTGTTGTGTGGGGCTCCCACAGAAGAACTGATCCAAAAGCTTTTAAGGATTCAACACAGAGACTAAGTTATTTGTTATTCCAAGCTGTCTTGAGAAAATTGGCTGACATGCGCCTTTGGCAACAGCATGTTCCAATAACTAAGCCTCGTACCGACTACCATTTATCTCAAATCCTTTGTATAAATACATGGAAAGTTCAGCAAAACCCAATATCTATTACAACTGAGTCTATACATAGTTATAATGCAAGCTCAGCAACAGCAACATAAGAGACTGTGCTGTGAGTAGCAGTAAGTCTCACTTGTTGAGCTGCTCAGTTAGTCCAGTACTGTAAAGCAATAGGATTTATTCTGTGATGTGCTTAAGGTCCTGCTCTTATCCCGAAGGCCAGGCGAACCTTCAGGAGTGTTTGTTTATAGAAATAAGGGGGCCTAAGTAAGTAGAAAAGCTCAAGTCCCACAGGGGAAGATTTTCATCTGTTTACATATCTCCCACAATGGGATCTAAAATGTTTTCATTGGAGATAGGTCTGGCAACCGGAAACATGGTCCTGAGCCAAATTTCCATGAGCGTAAGAGCCCTCCTCCCCCTGCAATGTCTCAAAGTTTTGTCAAGGCAGCGCAAGCCATAACAAAGACAGCGCTGGATATTTGGACGTGTGTTTAGAAAAGCTACATTACACTCTAACCTCTCCGGTTCTGTGCAGTACAGGTTTGCTGTAAAGTTTGGACACAAATATGTAAGACCGGGCTATAAACTACAACTTATGTAATGTTATAGAAACAGAGTAAAACCACCGGAGCTGTAAATGCCACATAGTATGATAAGAATGCAATAAACTGACTATTGTGTAACACACATCCTCCCAGTACGATAAACAATGATCTTTAACTGGGAGTAGTGGAAAAAGTACAGTTGTCGGTTGGGCGGTGATGATGGGGTTGATGCACCTGGACAGGGAACACATGTGACCAATTTACTGCATGTGACCTGAGTGACGGGAAGAGGCCCTAACGTCTTTCTAGAGAACCTGGAAGATCACTGCAGAAGCACATGTGGCCAAATATTGAAAAACACAAGATGACACGGATGACAGGAGGAATACAAGAAATGAAAACACAATTATATTACATCCTGGGGAGTGAGTGAGCATGACCTCTGGTGGACATATGAGATCAAATGGCCAAAATCCATGACTTCTATTAGAAAGTTATTTTCCGCTCATTCATCAAATAGTATATTTAGAATCTTTTTTTTCCCACGAATATAATCCCCTCTTGCCTTAAAATAGCAAAGATGTAACTCTACACTTACTTCCTTTAGAAAACGCAGATCTGTGACTGCAGCTGAGCACGCCAGCTCACCTACGACACACTGTAAAACTACTCTACGTAGCGCAAAGGCAGGTTGGAATGTCAGCCGTACATGTCTAAGCAAGAAATCTATTCAGAAGAGGAAATACGGAAACCTGCAAGTTGACGGGGGTTGGTTCCTTAGAATTGTTACACATGAAACTCGAGAAGTCTGAGCTGTGTTATCTAAATGTTATTATTCAAAGTTTCATTGAGCTTTTAAAAGTTCCCCACAGCGACTAAGTCATTTATTATCCTAAGCTGTCTTGAAAAAATTGGCTGACAGGCTGCCTTGGCAACCAACTCTTAGACTCTTACAAGCAACAGTTTGTCTCACATCCCTTGTATGAATAAATGGAAAGTTCAACAACATCATATTTCTGTTGTAAAACATCATACGGACATGTAGGTTTAAAAAAAATCTGCAACTGAAGTGATTTTTAAAAATTCTTTCATAACATTTACTAAACCAGGAAGCCTATTTCAGATGTAAAGTGTTCTGACCAAGACAGGCAGCACCAACACATACACACACAACTTTTTAACAAAAATCTAAGTATATTCTCAATATGAAGTTAATCTAACTCTAAACCTCGTGAAAGTTGATGACATTGTTTTCAGAGTGACAGTACACGTTGAGATGATTTATCTCCTGTGTCTATTATAGGAGGACATGTAAATATGCTGTCACAGGTGACCTTTGAGTGTCACAGCATCTGACGGGTTACATATATTTCACTGTAACACCGGTGTTATACTCTCAGCAGGTCCCAAGAGGCGTGAATCAGATAACAATGGATCAACTTTGACTTTTTCTTTTGATCAAGGAGAGCGGATGAACGCTGCTAAGCACATGCTGCTGACAGCTAACACGACTCGACGGTATTAAGACACAAAACACACGTGAATTACAATTAAGCTAACGAGCCGATAAGGGGTTAGCACACTTGTTACATCCCAGAAGTTAGCTAGCAACGGAGCCCATTCAAGGTAAAAACTTACCTCCTCCTCCTCCTCTACCACCACTCTGTCGGCTACTTATTTATCTGTAACAGCATTAATCCTCTGGCAGCACTGGAGTGTGGTGTAGTTTTAATTTTTTAGTTCTACTCACATTGTCAAACAGGGAGCCGACATTTGCGGTGACGAGCAGCACATCAGTGACTGTTTCCATGTTAACGATCCTCCTCCGACAGTCCGACGAAACTCCGGTTTAAAAAAAATAAAAAAAAATAAAAAAAAGAACGACGCAGGCCTACAGCTCCCGGCTCTCCAGGAGCTTATCCAGGCTTACTGAGTGAGCCCAAATCGCGACAGCACAGGCTCAGGCTGGAAATTACAGCAGCATCTCACCGACACCGACACCGAGCTGCTTCAGGTCCGACTCCTCTGTTGATGGCGGGCTGTCGTATCATCGTAATGCTGGAGCGCCGCTCACGTTCATCGTCTCGCCGGAGGGGTGTAAGTTAGTTTAAAACTGGCGACGTGCCTTGATGTGGGCCGTCCTCCGGGTTAATTGGACTAGTAGCTGCTTAGAGGACTAAACCAGCCCGCACGGCGCATCTGTTGCCGCCTTGACAAGCGCTCAGATAACCGGAGCAGCCGTCAGTGTTGTTATGAACTCCTGGTGCTCCGCCCACTTCACCGCCACTGTGTCTGAAGTTAATGAGCGCGGAGCCAGCGAGGTGGACGTCAATCTGAATAGAAACCTAGAATGTATTACTACCACAGAAACTTGTGTGGGACTTGTACACAAATAGCTAATTACACTATATGTTTACACGTCGCTAAATCAGATTGAAACAGCACTGAAATACCGTTGAACAAACTTCAGCTGACTGAATCAATATTGACTCAACCTACATCTTAAAAAGTCGCTCCGGGCACCATTAAAGCTGATTAAATATTAAAATGATGTTGGCGGAACAAAACCTATTGGAAAATTGATATCTAAGAAGATGAAAACTTAATTGTTGCATATATGAAACTGAAATCATAATTATTCAAGGCTATAGTACTTAATTTACAATTCATGAGCTCCCCTTCCCTCCACCCCAAATGGTATCGCCCAGTTCAGACACTGTTTAATTAGTGGCATTTAAGTTTGCAAGTAAAACTACAGCATAATGTTGTTTTAACCTTGTCCTTTTAACATTTAAACTATTTACAGATTATTTGATTTTTAATCGTAGCCAAATAATCAACCTTAAAAAAACGTTGAATTAACTCTTGTTGTGTGAAGTTTCTCAAACATCAAACCCCAAAACTGGATTTTGCATTATGCTGTTACAGTGTTAACTTAATTTGTATTATTTCTTTTCTCTTTCATTGTATATTTTATCTTTCACATGCTGTATAAATACACTTGCTTGTTTAGGAGCTGACTACCACCACAATGTTGAACTTAGTTACCAGAGAAAATTCAAAATACCTGAAAGCATTCTTAATTAGCCACTCAGCATACAAAAGGCTCCTTCTGTCAAGTCACAGAACAGAAATGTATTCATTCTCTTTCAGTGAAACCTTTTTCGCTCATTTTGTTTGCTTCTGCTGTAATTCTTATCTGTAGTTGTGTTACAACTGCTAACAATCAAAATGAATCTTTATTTGACTTTGCTTTAGGTGTGTGATCATCAATAATCACGCAAACCTTATGTGAAGTCCTGCACCAGTAGACATGGATATTAGTGCAACTAGTTTTCATGTGCATCACCTACTCATTTCCTCCAAAACAGGCTGCCTCCACCAGCACATAATCATGACCACAGCAGAGTAACCACAATATTTTACCATACCAGTGGAGCCAGTGGCTATAAAACACTTATTTGGGGCAGCTGGATCTGTGCCATCCGGCAGTCTGGGTCCCAGCCCAGAGTAAAGCAAAGACTGCTGGGGGCCTGACTCCGTCTCTCCATAGTGCTGTTAGTGAGCTGTTCAACCATGGCATGGGTTACACAACCAACCTTTTGAGCTCTTCTTCCCCGCTTCCTCTAACTCCTCCTCCGAGCACTGTGTGCTTTATTCACCAACGTCAACAGATCCATTTGAAACTATTGCGACAGAGATGGAAAAGAATGCTGCCATGTCCATCACCGGTTTGGAAACAAAGACAGTTTAAAGAGAAACCTCCCTGAAAGGAGACTGAAGTGGTTTATTGCAGCCAGAACAGGCCTGGCTTTTGGATAAAGAATCAGCAATGTACATCCATGGAAAGAGATCCTATTTAGACCTCAACCTGAGTACACAGTCTGCAAGGGAATTAATTCAGAATATATAGCAGTTCTACAAAAACAGTTTTCAGTCTACATGCCAGATTACGTTGCCTACTAGACAATACAAATCAGACTAAAAATATCACCAGACTGCTCGCTTACCTGCCAAGAATAGCACAGGGAAGCTACAGCAAACCAAGGTAGCTCTGCAAGAAATATTACATTCTAAAAATAGAAAATGTAAATCAATTTCTTAAGATAATTGCCAGTAAAACTGATACAATTTGAATCTGTTTACCTCCTTCCAAACTTTTGAGGATATCATCAAGTTGAATCCAATGTTTACTGTATGCTTGTGTACAGCATTCTATTTATGTGAATGTTTATTAGGTGTCTAGTATTTACTATTTAACAACCACATTTACTGAAGACAGCAGAAATATCCTTCAAATCCTTTAGTTATTCTAGTGTTTATTTAACATATTGTCCGTGTGTGTCCACATTCACTTGTGCTACTTGTCATGAGGCTTCAAGTTTCATATGCATCTGTGCTTACATCAGAGTAAGAGGAGAAGCACAAAAAACCCCTGAAATCACAGGTAGAGTCACATTCTTGAACATTTATTTTGATGAACTGATTTGACACCATCTAGACAACTATCCCTGATAACACCAAACTAGCGAGATGAAGGCCTCAGGGGGAAACCCATGAGGCTGCCCACCATGTTCCTTGAGTCCAGCCTAATGGGGAGTCCAGACTACAGCTGCAGGCTCTCCACGGAACCTCCTTGAGGTTACCAAGTAGGAGAAAGGTCATTAATGAGAGGGAGGAAATTAAGACAAGTGCTTTTAGAGTTCACTTAAAATAAATGAGGCAAGATGGTCACTGCACAAGCAGGAAGCCAATGACATGTCTGTTTGGGAGTGTTTTAGTATGATCAGCTAATTATAGCCATTATAACTATGTTTTAGTCAGAAGACCAGATGTGATGGTCATTATGATGCTACCTGTGTGCCATGAGCCTTAAAGGGACAATGCTAAAAACATCCCAAAGGAATTCTTACTGACTGGACCATAAACCCCTTTACTCCTATCCTGCTGCATGATTCGCTGGAACAGGAAGATTTGCCTAAAATCAATAAACCTCCATCGGATTAACAGTTGGTGCACAATTTCCACTTCATAATGTGAGGACGTACACATTCCATGGAAAAAAAACACAGAAACAGACACAGGAGCTTGTCTGCATCGCAGCTCCTATAGTGACCACATGTGTTCATACAATTCGTAATGTAAAACACAAAGCTTCAAATACAAGTTTTTTTTTTCTCTCTTGGAAAAAAGCCCATAAAAATATCTGAAATGTAACAAAATCTGGCATTGTGCCCTAAACCACGGGTACAAGCCAGTCATGAAAAACCCCAACTCAGTCACAGGTTTTAGCTTTAGAACAAACTAGTATTTATCTACAATAGCTCTCTTCTACATCCCAGGCATGACCAGGTCTGTAACTTAAACACAGCGTGATACAAATATGACAGTAAAATCTTCAAAATTAAAGTTGCAACTATTAAACAAAGACAGGAACTCAATGATAGATAATAATACACGTTTCCCCCCCAAAGACTGCCACCAAGGAAGACTTTCTGTGTGCACTGTGTTCTCACTTCTAAAGCAAGCAAGGCTTCAAGTCAAGCTATTCCAACACAGGGCAGCAGACTCAGAATGACCCGTAACAGCGATGCAAACTTAACATGCCGGGCTGAGGCAGTGACCGAGGAAGCCAAATGGAGTACTGTTGACATCGGGGAGAGAATTTTCCAGTCCAGGTGCTCCAATAGAGAGAGAGAGAGACCACTGCTGCCTGTTCAGTCAGAGGAGCCCAGCAGGGTCTGTGAACCAATCCAATTTCATTAAGGTCCTTCAGGAGCGGCTGCGGTCCTCTTGGGTGCCCACCAGCATTTTACTGTACAGTTTCTGTTGCTCTTCTTTAAAGGTATCTTTTACCTTTCCCCTCTTCAATCCTCCATCCCTACAAAGGAGATCAGGAACGATTATTGATAATTATGCAGGTCACCCGTGTTTTATCTCTCATTTGATGTAACCCAATTTAACTTGTTGCTCAGAAAAACCACAAGTGTAACGGATAATGTCAACAGTCTTATTAGTCAAACTGTCGGCTATAAAAATGGTCTGTCATATTGTGAGCTGTAACATTTGTACTGACAGCAAGTGTGAGTGATGGGACAAAATATTTAAATATTTGAATGCTACAAATACAACTGAGTTTCCATATTACTGTTATTATTAACATGTAACAGTTGGGCATTTTAGACCACTGTATTTTTTGTTCTGGCCTTTTAAATGCAGAAGATTCTTAATTTAACTTTTTATAACAGTGTTGAATTAAATGAGAATGTAGTTGGACCAGTTTGTTCACTCTGTCATGTGGCAACTCCAGTTTAACGACAGGAATAAACTCAGTAAGCAAGAAAGAATTTAACAATCTTGTGTATGGGAGCACAGTCAAAATAAGCTAGTCGTTTTTATTTGTCATCACAGGCTGAACCAATACCATTGTTGTGATAAATCAGTTCTAAAAAGAGAGCCAATGAGAACGTACATGTGATCCACAGACCGGATGACCTAAATCATCTGGTAAATTTAATACAATTGTTATTGATGTCATTGATTATGTCTGTGCTGTTCCTGTGATGATGTGTCTGGTACAAATAGCCACCCATGTGTTGTAGCACGTTCTTTATTGCCTGTAGGTCAGAGGGTGTATATGTGAAAGCGGTATGGGCGCTATCTTACCACAGGAGGTCAACCAGTCCACCTTGCCTGGCTATAGCGGCCTTTACACGATTGGCGAACTGCACAGCGTCCTCTCCCTCCTGTTGGAGATGACTGACATAAATATAATGCTGGCAAACAAGTGGTCATAGCAAATAAATAACACCTAAATATAAATAAATAAATACATCATTTTATGAATTAAATCAAATATAAAGCCTTTGCTAAAGGCTACTGCTTTAAGAGAAAACCTCACATCCTACAAAAATACTGTGGTTATTGTCAGTTTTAAGAGATGGGCAGACAAAAGACAAAAGAGAGGCTCTGCAGTATAAAACAATTGGACTTGCTTGTTGATAAGTTTTGAACCCACTGTGTCAACCGACACAGAAAGAGCTGGGCTTATTGCCACAGCAAACTTATCACTGTAGGTTGGAGTGCCAAATGAACCCAGCCACCATAAATTCACTTTAGTTCACGGTCAGTGAATGTCTCTTACTCTGTACAAGAAAAAGTTATGGTTCAGTGGAAAAAAGCCACACCACAGTGCTCTGCTCTCACTCCATGATTCATATACCTCCTATAGGAGCCAAGATATACTTGATACTGTATACTGTTGAAACTGCAAGTTTACATACAATGTATAAACAGACATATAACCTTTTTTTCTCACTATCTGGCATTAAATGTGACTAAACTTTTCCTGTTTTAGGTCAGTTAGGATTACCAAAATTATGTTTGTTGGTTGTCTTGCTCCACACGCCTTGTCAGCTCTGCCCACAAATTTTTTACAGGATTGAGATCAGGGCTTCGTGATGGCTTCTCCAAAACATTGACTTTGTTGTCCTGAAGCCACTTTGTAGCTAATTTGGTGGCATGCTGAGGGTCAATGTCCTTTTGGAAAACCCATTTGTACCCAATCTTTAACTTCCTGGCTGATGTCTTGAAATGTTGCTTCAGTATTTCCACATAGTCTTCTTTCCTCATGATGCCATTCATTTTGTGAAGTGCACCAGTCCCTCCTGCAGTAAAACACCTCCACAACATGATGCTGCCACCTCCGTACTTCACAGTTGGGATGGTGTTCTCAGGCTTGCAAGTTTCCCCCTTTTTCCTCCAACTGTAACGATGGTCATTATGGCCAAACAGTTCAGTTTTAGTTTCATCAGACCACAGGACATGTCTCCAAAAATTAAGGTCTTTGCATTTGCAAACTGTAATCTGGATTTTTTTATATTGCTTTTGGGAGTAATGTCTTCTTCCTCTCTGAGTATCTTTTCAGCCCATGTCGGTACAGGACTGGTTTCACTGTGGATAATGACACTCTCTGACCAGCTTCAGCAGCATCTTCACAAGGTCTTTTGCTTTTGTTCTGGGGTTGATACGTACATTTCACACCAAAACACTTCATCTCTGGGACACAGAACCCGTCTCCTTCCTGAGCGCTATGATGGCTGGACATTTCCATGGTGTTTATACTTGTGTATAATTGTTTGAACAGATAAACGTGGAACCTTCAGGAATCTGGAAATTGTACCCAAGGATGAACCAGACTTGTGGCGTTCCACAATTTTCTTCCTGATATCTTGGCTGACTTCTTTAGATTTTCCATGTTGTCACAAAAGGAAGCAGTGTGTTTGACTTGTGCCTTAAAATAAATCTACAGGTGTGCCTCCAATTAACTCAAATGCTGTCAATGAACCTATCAAAAGCTTCCAAAGCCATGACATCATCATCTGAGCTTTCCCAAATAGTTTGAAGGCATAGTAACCTTAGTGTGTGTAATCTTCTGACTTTGAAGAAAGTAATAATTTAAAAAAATGTTTTAAAAAAAAAATTCTCTCTCTCATTATTCTTGCATTTAGCAAATAGAAATAATTTTGGTAATCCTAACTGACCTGAAACAGGAAAAGTTTAGTCTGATTTAATATCAGACAGTGAGGAGAAGAAAAAGGTTTTATGTCTTTTTATACAGTGTATGTAAACTTCTGGTTTCAACTGTATCTTGTATCTCTATGTTCTGCTGGACAGTCCAGTCTGTTTAAAAGTAAATCACGTTTCAAAAATTATTATTTAGACTATGGGGATGAAAAATATGTGCTGAATACAACAAAACAACATAAATATAATTGTTACATTTGTTAAAAGTAAATGAATAAGTTTATGTTGGGGTCTGACCTCTCTGGACATGGGAGGAAGGTACCACACACTGCAGACGATGGCCCAGCTGCTCATCATACGTAGAAGGTAGTTGACCATTCCAAACTTGCTGCTGTTCCAAAAAGCGTCTCCAAATCGGGGATCATACTGTGAGTATCAAACACCACAATTATTCACCATTACATGTATGATTTTAAACAAACAAACATTTAAAATGAACTACTGTGGATGGGTAAAACAACACATTGCAGATAAAAACAGCATAAAAACAAGAAGTCTCACCTTAATGGCTACAGGGTAGACTGTGGCTCCAATCTCAAAACTGCCTTTCTTAAACATCATAACTGATGTGTTGTTAATGCAGGTACCTGGGGATTTGAGTAGATTAAGTTATGAAAGACAAATGAGACTTGTGTGCTTTTTAAAGAAACAAGATGATTATAGCACGATTAGAAAATCTCTCCAAGCTCACTGAAATAAAACGTACCTTCTGGGAAGATGAGAATGGGCAGTTTAGATTTATCCTCTACATGGTCGCTTAATCTGTAAAACAAGAAGTATGAAGGCATCTCATCGAGACACAAAATGGATAAAAACAACAATATGTGAATTTCTCTAAATTACAAAACAGAAATTAAAAACTGAATGTCAAAAACCTATCAAGGTTACAACTGAGGGGACAATCCACACAAAAAACTACAACAAAAACAGAATAAAAACACAGACTGTACTTCTACCTTTTGGCCACTAGATGTCTGTCTTTTACTTCTGAGCGTTCAAACCAAACGTGTGGGCATGCTTTGACCATGGATCTCTGAATGACCCCCATCAGGCCACCGTGAATTTGGCCAACCTGAAGCAACACAAACACAAGCAAATAGCAACACATCTATTTCTGGTAGAAATGTCACTTCAACAGACAGTCAGCTGCACGTGTCAATGGTGTTTGCAGCTTCCTGCAAGGAAACAGCACAGTTACCATAGCATAGCAGCCGTCGCTGGCCAGGATGATGACATCGATTGGTGAAGTGTGGTTAGCAACACAGATGCCTCCATTCTTGGGTTTATTCTCACTAGGAAAGTGAGGACAAGAAGACTATTAAACCATGTATTATGAAGGCGCTATTACCAAGAACTACAACAAAGCTGAGTGTGGTAGCACGTGTCAAAATACACTTTTAGTGTACAATATTACTTCCAAGAAAGCAGTGCAAAACTATTTTTGAAACCATTATTAATAGACATGTGGGTCCTCTGCTTCTTCCACTTTTCTTAGAAGAAACAAAGCAGCCCATGGTGTCTATGTTAAAAGATGTGACTCCCTGAGTATGCAGGACCTGAAAGTACTGCGTCCACATTCCATAGATAGGGTTACAATCTTAAATAGAGAGGGAGAGCAACACTTTCTATGTCAGTTGTGTATTTTTAGCACCAGACAGGGGAGGAATACATGTTACAACAGGCAAAGCCAGATAGATATTCAGAAAGCCATAAAAATGACAGATACCTGTCTTACCTCTAAGCACTTAATTTGTATCAGTCAATCAATCACTGGCAATCCAATATCACAGTTTCTTATGAGAGATGAAAGTGTGTTTGTTGCTTAAATCTTACCTCTCCACCTTCTGAGTTTACAAAGTAACGGAAATAACATTTTAGTATAAATTTTCATTCTAACAAGAACCTGCTTGTATTCTGGGTGGCACTTGAAGATATGAGCACATAAACAGTCATAATTCTTACAGGTAAAATGAGCAACGTCACCAACAATGTCCCTTTATGATTTCACATTCAGTCATGCCTGCAGTACAGTTAACCAGAAGTGACACCAGCTGCTGCAGACAACAGTTTATGAGCAAGTAAACAAGGCACCAGCTTCCTCCTGTACATCCTGTTGCATGTGAACTTGTCTTGATAAAAGTTCTGTCTCCTGTTTAATGTTAGACTCTCACTCTGTCATATTTAAGTAAATTGTTTCCCTTACTGGGAAACAAGCCCAGCTACATCTGCTTGAATCAGTAACAGTAGATAAAACCTGTACACAGTCTATGCACGGTAGTAACACTTTAACATTCAGCAGCTCTGGGCAATTTGAAAATGACTGAACCTTGGTCAGGCACTTTGGTTCGTCTATAAGAAAATATTACTGGGTTTTGTTCTTCACCTCGGCTCATAATGGCCGTTGCAATGAATATGAATGTCTGAGTCTAGCTTTAGGCACTCTTCCTTTTATGCTCACACTCTGGCTGCTCGAATTTCAACTGCTAACACACCCTGGTTTCTGTTCTCTGCACATAACTCATCTGCCATTATGTAACCTGGATGGGGCCCTCTGCCGCCAGAACAGGAGGTCTGCTGCAGACCACGTTTGAGAAAGAATAATAATGGGACTACGGGAATAAGCTGAGCAGCCCTTGAGTAGCTTGGACTTTTCAAGGTATGCACTTCTGGATTAAAACTTTAGACCAGATCTACATCAAAGCTACCAAATGTATCGTGGACTTTCTTGAAAGCTTGCTCCCTTACGCGAAACTATGTAAAAAAAAAATAATTTGCTAAAAGCATCAAATACTTAAGATACCATTTGTGCCACTGACCACTTTACACCATTAGTCATCTTTTGCACATTTTTTTTTCTCTCCTTTTGTTTGTGTAATGTAGTTACGCCCACAGCAGTGAACAAGTGAGCAGCATTGCAGAGCTCTGCCCAAATAAAGCTTTTGCAGTGTTTTAACCACGTTCTAGAGGTGTGGCTGCATGCAATTTACTATCAAGTAAATGTGAAACAACAAACAGAAAAACGTTGCACCATTCTATATTTTCAGGCAAACCTTGAGATTTTTTGTCAAGACACGGTACACAAAACAAATACCAAAAAAAAAAAATGGGGAAATGACCAACAAAATTGAGAAAGTGCTTTGAAACACTGTGGCACCAAATGTTGCAATGTTGCATTTATCAACTGATCAAAGTGGTGGCAGCCAGTGGGAATGATAGCAAGCTAAAACCCCTGCCAAACGGGTCAAGTTCGTCTGTAAAAATATTTGCAGTTGTAATATCCATCCATCCATTCATTATCTATACAGCGCTTAATCCTCACTAGGGTCACGGGGGGCTGGAGTCTATCCCATCTGACTCAGGGTGAAGGCAGGGGACACCCTGGACAGGTCACCAGTCTATACAGGGCTACACTTAGAGACAGACAACCGAGCACACTCACATTCACACCTACGGACAATTTAGAATCATCAGTTAACCTCAACATGTTTTTAGACTTGTGGGAGGAAGCTGGAGAACCCGGAGAGAACCCACGCTGCACGGGGAGAACATGCAAACTCCACGCAGAAAGATCCCCCACCGGCTCGCACCAGCGACCTTCTTGCTGCGAGGCAACAGTGCTACCAACTGCGCCACCTTGCAGCCCCAGTAGTAATATGATTACTTTAAAATAATCTGATGTTCTGCTTTAGCAAACTGGTCTGGCTGTTGTGGGCCTTTTGCCGATAATTGTTTAGCTTTTATTATTTCTGTTACCAGAGTCCTGTGCATCTGATATAATAAGGTAACTTGAGATCACTCATCCAGTTGCACACACACTTTCAGAGCCATAGAAAAAGGTCCTAATGAAAGTCATTAGTGAAATAACACACAAATATGAGGAAGAACGGTGAGGGTCTTTTACCTGTCATGGTAGGTTATAATGGCAGTTAGAGCTCGGACGCATATTCTGTAGCACATCAAATGGACTTTCTCACTCAGAAAATTTTTCATCCTGCAAAAAGGAGAATACAATGGCATGCTCATGTCCAGAGGTCTGAGTGGATATTTTTGCTAAATTAAAACAAAGTAGCTTGTGTCCAGGCTCACCTTCCATTTGGCAGCAGCCCAACCACAGAGGTGAGGAACACAAGGAGGCCTACACCAGTGAAGGCAAGAGTTACCCTGGAGGAGAGACCGACAGGCAGGTTACTTATAATCGTCTGACCAATGAAGGAACCTTACAAGAAAACACTCATGTAAAGGAGGGATTCCATGCTTTGTAGGACTGGACAACATAGCTGAGAGGTTTACCATGATGATCGGTTGTATTTATCAGTTGATATGGATACTTATTGAACATTTTTAATTATTTATTTTTTAATAAAGGTCAGGAGAATCAAGGTTTATTTTGAATTTAACCATCTTACATAGAATGGAACCATTTGAACTTATTTATCAAGGCACACAAGCAATAATTTTAACGGTAACAATGAAAAACCCAAACAAAAACCCAAATACGTTCACACAAAAATAAGCAGTGTAGTAGTTATCTTCATTTCTTTAACTCGTTTGAGTTCTGTAGTGTTGACTCTTAATTCTTCTGAACTTCTTATTGTCATAACCACTTCCTCAAAAAGGGACGGGAGATTGTTTATGTGTTGATTCACAACAGTAAACCTTCCGCATTGCTCCGCCGCCCACTCGTTTATTGTGACAGAGCCCAACACTTCCGCAAACATTCTTCTTCATGGCTGCATTTACAAGGCTACGGAAGCCTCGCAGGATAACAATTAAGTCCAACAATTTAACCCTTTGACGTTCTAATTACATAATAAATATCTGCATTTCAGCAACAAACATGACTATTTCCTAAACTATAATAATAATACTGCAAAATGGCGCTTACAAGCAGGAATTAAGGAATCATCTCACATTGCTTTTTTTTTTTTTTTTTTACACTTTAAATAAAAAAAGAAAGTAAAACCCAAGAGGACGACCAGGGCAAAACACCACAGCACTCAGATTAATGTTCAGAGTTCGTGCCAGTAAATCGGTTAGGTGGAAGTGGTGGGGAACACTTGATCGGAGTGATTTTACACAGCAAAGCCCGTCTCGCAAAGGCAACAACGAGTCCCCAACAGCCGCTGCCTCCAGCAGGGCAGATCAGAGGCAACAAGAGACCCAGGTGGCTGCACACTAGAGCACCTCAGGAGACTTACATGTCATGGGGAGAGCGACAGGCAGCGAAGGGGCTCAATTACAGAGTATGACAGGTTGTTTAAGAACCAGGGAGGGAGCATGTCTGGGGTTTGTTCATGCAACCAAACCTTGTGGTTTTTTCTCCATGTGCTTTAATGGCAGTTTGCATCTCATACATTTAGTTAAAATTACCTCTAATCAACAATTTTCTTACTGCGACTGATGAAATGTGTCAGCACCTTTCGCAATTGTTTTATCACGCAGGCTTCTCTTTTGATTCCACAGTCTTAAAACTAATTAGTCTCTTGGTGAAGAATATGATTGTTGCAAATAAAAGTTTCCTTCAGTTCTGCAAGCTTTCACAGAGAAGAGTAACTCAGTTAACCTGTAAAGGGCACGAGTAATGTCCAGGAGAGCACAGTAACATGCTCTCCTCTACTCCACAACTTGCAGGAATGCATATTAGGCAGCAGTTAAGCTGGCCAACACGTCGACTTAATCTGGATGAACCAATCATCCAGGGTTGGAGAAGGTGCTGATTAAATTGTGCGAGGATTAGAAAAAACATTAGCGAGGTGAAGGTTTCATGCGTGTGGTGAGCCAAGCCAATATTGAACTGGATAAGGACTGAATGTGAGAATGTATTAGTCGGACAGGAGACTAGAGTGATGTCTGTTTGTGCAGCGGTGGCCTGATTCGTCTCCCCACTGGCTACTGGACATGAGCCAACCAGGCTTAGTACTGAGTCACTGTCCTCTCCAAGATGAGCTGGACTGAGAATCTCTTTCACTCTCCCTTACTCACTGCATGTGCCAGCGTTTAATGTCACTTATGGAGCAGTGTCAAATTCCATGCACTGTACACACATTGAGGTTTTTTTTTACAATCTGAACACATGACAAATACAGCTGTATGTTGTGTCATCAACTTTAAAACACATTTCTAATCACTACTAGCATAGAAAATAAGACCAATTTCACTTGTGAAAATATAGAACTTCAAAAGAATCTGAATTCACAACAGTGCACCATGAACTCCAACTTTTTTTTAGACTTTTATGACAGAACATAACACAAAAAGGTCATGTCTAATAACAACTGAACACAGTCCTGGATATGAACCAAACCCTGCCAGCTGGAGTCTTTTTGCCTTTTTCCTTCTGTCACAGTATAGATTTGTTCCTAGTCAAACAACGTGCTTGTCAGGTGGGCTGGAAACTAAAGTTCCCACAGGTATGAATGTGTTTCTTGTCTATATGTTGGAATCCTGTGACAGATGAAAGGCCTGTCCACGGTGTACCCAACCTTATATGATGGACGGTTAGAAATAGGCTAAACTTTTGAAATAAGTTAGTTAAATCCAAATATAAACTTTGTTTACATACATCAAAATCACAGAATAATATGAGGGGGTCAAATTAGCTGTGGCAATATTTATGGCCATTTTTCAAATTTGAGCTATGTTAAACTGATACTGGAGGGACTCCAATTTTTAAATTTTTAGCTCAGTCTTAATGTGTTTGGTCTGCCAACAATGAGGGTCAGTCTTCTAATATTAAACAACCAATAGTTCGCTTTCAACAGTGCTGTCAAGAGAATTTAAAGTGAACTTTTGAAATGTCCAAATAAATAATTTTTTTTTTAAGAAAACATGAATTAGACTTGTCTCCACTAGCTGCTATGGAGTAAATAAATGAGGTTGCATAGTGTTGACAGAAGGTGGCGGTCCAGTCTACAGTACACATGGCTATAATATGTAGAGTAAAAGCAGTCAGCAACAAAACCAGGTGTTTGCCAATTGCTAAAAAAAAACCTTGAAAAAGTAGACATAAACTAAACTTTGGCCATCTGTGAGAGTGAAAAGGAAAAAGAGTTTTCTGGAATTGTTTATAAGTACTCTTTTATCTCAGCTGGTATTAACCGGAAACAGTTGATCACTCATGTAAGTTAAATGAACAAGTCAAAAACCACAAATTCAAGTGTATAAACTTCTACAAGAAATTGAGGAACTTTTTTAGAATTCTGCCATGTACATATTTTTGATGCAATACTTGAATGCACATAAGAATATGTTACAGAAACACGACTCCTGTGTTGGATGTGTAGCTAATACCTGAGAGGGAGCAGGAAACCATAGCGGATCAGCAGGCCCAGCCCCCATAGGACCGTTAGCCTCAGGCTGATATAGTGGAAGTTGTTGTTGCTGCGGGTCAGTAGATTCCAGGACTCCAACTCCTCAGCAGAGAACCGCTTTGTCACCTCATCATCCATGATGCTTTCCACTCCTCGTCGAGCAAAATAGAAGATGTCAGACATCTCAAACTCAGGGGCTGAGTCCAGATCTTTGTTGCTGCCACTTCGCCGGATCTCCTTGATTTCCTCCTCCAAAGAGGTGGGCTCCTTGGCAATGATAGCTGCAGCAGGCCAGAGAGTCATATTGTCAATGATGCTCATCTCTAAAACAAATGCACCTACTGAAACAACACATGCAAGAGAGCAAAGTATCTTACCATTTGAGTAGGGTTTATACAGGAGGTGATTCTTTTCCTTCGCTCCTCTCTCTATCCTAAGTGTGGCCCACTAAAAAGAAAGAATCAAAGGTGCACAAACACATGAGTGACCCATTGTTTAACACATAAAAAATAACTGAAAATTGCTAATTTTACATTTTTGTTTAAGTCTGAAAAACAGCAATGTTTAGAAAAGGCCGCCCTGACATCGTGTAGAAAGTTTCTGTGGCAACTGCTGAACTGGAGAACTGTTGACATTCATTACAAGAAACTACTTAAGATTCCTCCTGCTTCGAAATTTGGTTATTCATGTTGTAAACAGTCAGGGTACAAAACTTGAACAAAGCTGAAGGAAACAGATTCTGAATTGCTAGAATTTGACCTAATCCTGAACCAATAATATGGTCATGTGGAAAGAAACATTTACTTCAGAACATTTTAAAGAGTAAAGACTTGATCCTCACTGAAATTATGCTTTTTAATCAATGTGATATACTCAAATTACACATTTGTGTCATTTGCACAATGTTTTTTAATCACATCTTCATATTCATAAAATTTAAATTAGGCAACACAGATTCAATGCCAATGGTTACAACATGTGACGGGTGGAACTTATCTTATTTAAACTACTAGCATTCTTGTTCTGCTGTTCTCTTTAAGTTGTGGATGTCTATAAGTCTGCCAAAGGGTTTAGAAGGTCTCAAAATTAAACCATTCCAATGAAGAAAATCATCAGTCAGTGGGGCAGACTGGACTAACTGCCCTACAAAAATCATCAAGAGCACTTCAATGACAAAAAGAAATTTCTAAGAACCACAAAATGTCATCACAGGATCTGTAACTAACTGTTGCAACTAATGGTGTCAAAGTGCATGTGTCTACAATCAGAAAGAGACTGCACAAGTTTCAATTGCATGGGAGGTGTGCCAGGAAAAAGCCTCGTCCAAAAAGTTAGTTAAAAGCAGGCCTTTTAGTGTAATGTGCTCTGGACAGACGAATCCAAGATCGAGTTGTGTGGCTGCAGTGATAGTAGACATGTTTGGTGCAGAACAATGACAGCGTCTATGGAAAAGAACCTCAGACCAAGTAGGAAACATGGTGGCAGAACTGTTTTCGTTTGGGGGTTTCTTTGCTGCCTCAGGGATGTGGCAGGTTACAGTAATTGATTCAACTATGAATTCTTCATCATATTAAAGAGTGCTTGAACATAATGTGAGGTCATCTGTCTGAACGTTGGAGCGGAGCCAGAAGACGACTTTTCAATGGAATAATGATCCTAAGCGCACTAGCAACTCTGCCAAGGAAGAAATGGAGGGTTATGTAATGGCCTAGTGAAAGCTTAGGTTTGATTACCGTTGAAAATATATGAGGGGGGCTTTGAAATGTACAGTACATACAAGAAAACCTTCAAGTATCTTGCAACTATCTTGTAATTTTGCATGGAAGATTGGTCTTCAAAACCTGAGGATGCCAATGTGAGAGACTAGTGGACAGCTCTCCAAGACATCTACAAAGAGTTATTTCTGCTACAGGGGGCAATACTAGCTCCTGAGGCCATGAGGGTGTACTTACTTTTATTTACAATATGACAACTATTGATACTTTTGTTGAATAATTGATTGAAAAAGTACATTTTACTTGTTGTGTTGTTCAAGTGTATCACCTCGATCTGCAGCAACTGATTCAATAAAGATTAAATGTTTGTCCAAACATGTCAAATAATTCCACTCCATTTGGACTTAAAGTTTTCATATGGCAGTATCACCAAGTATATCTATACTCACTGCCTTGCAAATAATAAACTAACATTATAATGCCCACTTCTCCTTGCTTGATGGTAAAATCAGCGATTCTAATCCAAAAGTTTTTGTCAAGTTCAGTGAATATTTCTTAATGGTCCACTAGCTGTCTGTGCTATGATTGAGAAACAAACGAAGTGTCTAGACCCAGTCGTGATAACACCACTCCAGCATGTCCCGAGCACATGTGTGCATGCTTGTGCACAGCACGGGGGAAAGCCAGGGGGAGGGGAGATGGGAGGAAAGGGTGCAATGGGAGCCAGAGGGACTGTAAATCTGACACATGCTAACTACACTAACTAGTTAAATACCAACAATCGTCCGTCGGATCACAGACTCCACCTTTTTTCATGCATACTATTCTACAATAAGTGTCAAAAGTATATCATCGAATGTACAAGCCAAGCCTTTAGCATGTACTCTGCATGCAGAGACAAAAACAAACTGAGGGGCAGGAAAAGGACATAGTGTTCTCCCAGCTGTAAGCCAAGCTGGAAAGATCAGGAAATTATGGACTGGGATGTGCTGGATGTGTTTCACTTCGCCAACGTTTTCAGAGCACACTTCCTACCACAAAATGTGATAACTTCAAGCTTTGTCTGCATCAATCATAGACGGAATAAACAGTGTAAGGAAGGTCCATTTCCATAAATACTGAATAGCAATGCTGGGTGTGAATGTCTGTTGAGGTCAGAAACCCTGGCATTTAGCCAAGGGCGCTTGAAAAAGAAATTCTAGGAATGTTGAGTGATGCCATGGCTTTGTGTGCACCTGAAGGCTGCACAAGTAATTCTGAAAAGCTAACTCTAAATCATTGAAGGTACAATTCTTTCTAACGTGCAGCTGCCTGTAACAATTTTTAATTTTCGTATTAAAAAACAAAACATGTGGAACATTCAAAAAAGATTTGAAGATGAAGAACATTTTGCCCACAGCTCTAATATTTCCACTTGATTGCCCTCATCACTCAAACTGAATAGGCACACACATTACAGTCCAGAATTACTTCTGTTTTCTTTTACAGCTATCTTTAAATCATGCCATGACAAGTTGTAATACTGAGTCATCGACTGAAAACGCAGTTGACAGTGACGGTTGTTTGGGTGAACCGAGGAGAACACAGAGAACAAAACAAAGCACGTCAATCAAAGCACGCGTCTCTGGAGCGCCATGTGAAAAAGAGGTTTGAACTTCTTTATCTCCTGTGCAGCATTACAGATGAAGGATTAAACACCTTCAAATGTTATGATCAGGGAATATTGATCGTAATGTATAGTTACACCAATGAACTAACAGCAAAACTAAATATCACTGTAAGTCTTGGGTCGAACTGATTCAATCCAGCTCAGTCTTGGCTGTACGCCTAATCATGGCCATGACATCTCCCTTTATACTGTGAGAACTTGAGAAAACACTGCTTCAGAACACCACACATTCTGTACTGCATCTGTCCTCTGACCTTTTCTTGAAATCTAATGGCTGCCGCTGGAATCGTGAGCTAAGAACATCTCTCCTATCTCCCACCGGTTCATTTATTTCTGGCACAAGATCTGTTCTCAGAGGTACACGATGAAAAGTGATGACTGCTTTACTAGTGATGATACACTACAGCAGAGCAGCTGATGCATTCGTGTCGTTGCTGGCGATCCAGGCTCTTTTCTTCAAAGTGAAAACTGCAAATCAGTAAGCAATATTGAGCCACATCACGGACAACAGTTACTGACAGCGTCTGCGGTTACATAACACGGGAAGAATGGCCCGCGGCTGTGACGCTAATCTGTATCAGTCAGTTAATACAATGGCTGCTGGTTAGACACAAGCATAAAGCCTGCACTTGACCAATGCCTTGAGATGTGCATGTGATAGAAGTAATTTCCTAAAACTTACTTCCCCTTTTGTAATACAAAACTTTTAGACATTGCCTTTCAGTACAGAAAAAATGCACAATCAGAGGAACAATGCCAACAACTTGTTATGGCAAGAGTGGAAAATAACTACAAGATGAAAGACACACCTTTAGCTGTACTATTATGTTGTGTGTACAGCTTCAATCAATAATCATTCATGATCACCACAACGCCTCAAACTGCAGTAAACATTCTGTTTTCTCATTTCTTTGTATAAACACAAAGCAATAGGTCATTACGAGGCAGGCTCTTACCTCAAAGAGCTTTAACAACGTTTTCATGTAAAGACGGCGGATGCCAAAGGACACCCCGAAGATGGCAGGCACGATGATGAAGACCAGCAGCAGGGTGAACCACACGGTGAAGGAGATGCCCAGCAGGATACACACCAAGTTATCAAAAGGGTTGAAGAAGAGCTCCATCTTGAAGTCAGCGGGGCGATCAAATGAAACTGTTGAAATCACAGGGCTGAGCAGATGTCAGAGGAGGTTCTGGTCTCCACCTCCTGGCCCCAAGTGGCCCTTAGCTTTTGTCACAAAGAGGCCTTCATCAAGATAACTAGGGGATGGAGCTTCTCCTCACAATGAACAGAGAATCAATATAAATACAAGGGACCATTCTGAAGCTGCCCTTTTGGGCAATATCCATGAATTTCACGAGTTTCACCATGAATAAGTTTCTGAATACGAGCTGAATTCACTTCCAGGAAAAAGGTGGGACTGAAGTAATGGTCTGTCCTTGCTGCAGATGTCCTTCTTGCTATTAGAGAGGAGCTTCCCGCTGGTGAAAGAGATGTAAACAATGAAACCAAAACAACGGAGCACAGCAGGTGGTTCTCTTGTGTGGTGGAGATCCGGGGGCTCTGCGGCTCAGTGTCACCTGCAGAGATGTAAACAAACAGTCAGGGCTATCTGTAACAGCACAATGTCCTCCTCGGCCTGACAGCATGGCGTGTAATTTAATAATGTAAAACAGAAAGCGTGTCCTTGTGTCAGCGGCTCCTGTGTGCACCTCAAACACCGGCGAGCACAACTTGATGCTAGTCTGCGGCTGTACTGAAAAGAAACAAGAGGCGACTAGTCTTTGGAAAAGCCTACCAGTCGTGTGTGTTTCTTTTCTGTGGAGGGGAAGATAACTTCAAATTCTACTGTTATCAGCCGCGGTGCAGAGATAACCGCGTTAGCGAGAGGCCCTCCATCCTCCTGCCCTGTGATGATGCAGCAGGACGGCTAACGAGAGCCTCCATCCCCGGTACCACCTCTCTGGATTAGCTTGGCTCACCAACACCTCGCATTTAGCTGAAGCTCTCTGTGACAATTTAGCAGCCTTCTCAAGACACACGAGCAATTAAGGGCGAGCCTAAAATAGAGGCCGGTAGTGAAACTGAAGGCTATACACGGACGGTGTGAAGCCTGAGCTGAAGTTAGCTTGTGGCCTCAGAGCTAACAGCGGAGCTAAACGTGTCTCCTGGTGCTAACGTTAGCCTGCTGCCTCAGCCCGGGAGCCCCGCACCGACTGCCACAACCGTGGACTTAAAAGCCTGCATTCGGTGCCTTTATGTGTTATCCTAAGTGTAAAAATACTCGTAGTTCAGAGGACTTGCTAGTGAACCAACCTCCAGTCACGTTGGGTCCAGCGCCGGTACAGCGGCTCTCACTGCTCCATCACTTTGTCTTTGTCTCGCGGACTGAAGCCAAACTCCACCCGTCGGACACCACGAGCACGCAGCGGGCAGCCCGAGCTGGCTACGTATGAGGCGGCCAGCCCCCGGTCGATCCCCCGACGGCGACACGCTCAGGTCCGCGCTGACTCCTGCCGGTGCTGCCGCGCTACTACACCGGTGGGAGGTGTTTGACCACCGCTGCTCCGGGAACACACGCTTCAAACACGAGCACATGGAAATAATGAGCTGCAATGGGTGCAGCATGCAATTAAACGAAGCAATTAGAATGCACACAGATTCAGAAACAACTAAATCAGATTAAAGCATCATAGGTGCAATGTAAAAAGTATTGAACGTAAAACCCTATTTAACTAAAAGTATCATCAAGAAAACGTACTCAAAGCATCTGAAGTAAAACTTCTCATCATGCAAAATGGTCCATTTTACTATCATATGCATTATATTATTGGATTAGAATAATTGATTAATTAATGAGCACCTTACTTTAATGTTTCAGTTTGAGCTACTCTCAGCTACTTTACATACTGCTGGGGCTCATCTTATATGAATGCAACGTAATTCACTTGCTTATTCAGACTTTATATTAAGGCAAGATAGGACAAGAAAAAAATATATATATATACTTTTTTTTTTATTTTAATTTTTTTTTTTTTTCAATTTTGAGATTTTGGGTTATTTTGCTTCTTAACTTGTGTTTTTTTCTGACTGAAAAAAAGAAAACGTTTGTCTTTTGAATATTATTGCAAATTAGAGTACACTTAATGAGACAATACCCCAATTAGCAATTTAACCTCTTAAGACCCGGTGTCCACATGGGTAGACATCACATTTTAGGTTACATTACCACTAGTGATTTTTTTTTTTATTTCATTATTTAGTTATTTTAAAAGTTTAGTTTTATACATATTTAAAAACATATTTTTAAAAATGTATTGTATTTTCTTTATCTTATTTTATTATTATTTTATTATTATTTTATTATTATTTTCTCTTTGCTATTTGACCAGATCAAATAGCAAAGAGAAATAAAAAATGCATATCAAACAAGAGCTCAGGTCTTAAGAGGTTAAACATAAAACTTCAGAAAATGTGCAATGCAAAAAAAATGTCATAATGAAATTAATCAAATGGGGAAGTTTCACAGTGATGTCTGTATTTTTATAACATTTTATTCCTGAAAGTATGGCTAAAAATGATTTTTTTTCTACCTGGTGACCGTATTTTCTGATTCATATTAATAATAATAAAGATATCCAGAATACCCTATGTAAAACATCTTTGGCTTCTAACAAGTAAATCAAACAAGAATTTTGAACCTGGGTTTATCTACTGTACAGATTTCTGTTCTGAAAATAATTGAAATTACAGCAGATTTCGGTAGAAACTACCTCATATTCATATTTAAACATTTCAGAAAACCTAAAACACAAAATCAGATTGTCTTCATTTGACTAATCAAGTGGGCAAGTTCTGTGGCAATATCTATTATATCTATATCTCTTAAAAATTGTACCTTCTGTCTCTCTTTAATAATCAGAATCTGCAAAATAACTATCGAGCAAAGCTTTAAAATAAATGTAGTGAAGCACAAAGTACAATATTTGTCCACACAATATCATGGAATAATAGTAGAAAGTAGCATAACATGGACATACTTTAGTAAAGGTACATAAAAATATACTTAAATACGATGCCTGACTAAATGTGCTTGGTTATATTCCATCACTGTAAGCTGTGTACCCTTGTTTAATTTTTCCTAATACAATTCCTCAATGCTTCAGTGAGCACAAACAAAATGCAATTACCGGAAACCTCAAATATCTGAAAGTCAAAGCAAACAAAGCCAACATTTTATCTGCATGGCTGGATGCACCAAATGGAAAGCTAGAAAATTAACTGTAGATATTTCTGCTATTTGTATGAACCAACTGTTTAAATAATTCAGCATACTGGAGTAACAAAAAATGTTTTTTTATTCACACATTTACATCCATGTACAGTCTTGTCAAGTAATTTCAGATATAGAGAAGCAGAAACAGTACTGATACTTGGCACAGCGTTCAAGCTTTAAGGAAGAGTTAATAAACCTTATTACACCGGATGAAAATAAACCTCACTTCTGTTTTGTATTTATAGATAGTGTATTTAAATGTTATTATAGCCACTCTGAAAATAATCAATCTCCACCATATTTCTTTTAGATGTCAAGTTCTAAAGAGGCAGCTGAGAACATTTTGTCAGTGCATCCGTCTGTCAGGCTCGAGGAGGCTCAGTCCTCCAGTGAGTGTCAAGCGCTGCTCTCCAGCAGAGCCTCAAAGTCTGGGGAGCAAACCATCTTGTGTTTGACATTCCCTAACACAGTCAAGTTGCCGGTTTTTCCTTCTGTGCCAATAGAGACCAGTTCCTGAGAAAACAAGGGGAGGGGAAGAAGAGGAAAGCCTGTCAGACATGTTGGCAACAGTGTAAGCATTTCATTCTGTGATAAAATAATAGACAGTATGTAGACAAAGAGAGAAACTTTAACACAAGTGCTATTATCATACCTGAAAGAAAGAGCATGACGTTCCTAGAGACACATCAAGCGTCACGTGTCCCAGTATGAGCTGCACACGGCCAGACTTCCGCACCAGCATCTTTCCTATGACGCCCTCCCGCAGATCTTTTAGATTGCAGCTGTTCTCTTCAGCTTCTTCCTCCTGTTTTAAATTAAAACACCGTTTACACATAAAACCTCCATTTTATCATGTATTTAGAAAAGTAGATGACAGCTAGACCTACCTGAGACTCTGTTTTCAGAAGCACAGACTGCCCATCCTCTGACTGCACTTCAGTTTTCACCGGTCTGTGCTCTTTGGTGGGAGGCTGGCCGGGCAGCGAGTCAGGCAGCTGAACAAAGAACAGCTCCTCGCCTTTGCTCAGACTCCATTTGTGCAGCAGGTCAGGAAGAACTTCAGGCTCAGGGAGCGGAGGAGGCCTGAAAGTCGCCTCTGTCTTCTTTATCTCCATTTCTTCTGGCTCTTTTTTCACTGAAGACAAAGGGATGACTATTTTGAGAGAGAGCAGCTATTTGGACATCATGTTTATTTCTTGCTTTCAGAAGCCATCACATGTACGGGAAACACAAGTTGAAGACTTGGAAACTGCTATCAAGACACAGGATTTTTTTTGTCTCCTCTTGTTGCAAAACATCATCACGATGAAAGCAAGATTTCTCAAGAAAATTAAGTAATGATGGAGTCAAATACAAGTCCATACAGTTACCTTCAACTGCAGGCTCCATGGGTTCACAATCCTCATCTGTTTTCTCAATTTTAACAGCATCATCACTAAATTCCTCCTTAAATCCCCATCCGGACACGGCGAGGGGAAGCTGAACAGGGCAGCTCCTCTGCTCACTCCTCAGGAAAGGGTCGTCTATAAACTGAGAGAACACAAAAGGAAAATGAAGCAAAATTCATGGAAGATGGATCAGTGGTGGCTGGTTAATACGCGGTGCAGGGGCGCCGCCCCGCTACTAATGACCAGATAAAAGGAGTTCTCAAACATAAAACTTAATTTGAATTAATTATAACAAAATAATAATAAAATTAATAATAACGTTCATATTCGTTTGCTATATTAACAATATTTGTATTATTAACAGATTTAATATTAGTCTTTACTGCGAGTTTATTAATTTTAATTCCTGGATGTGGGGCGCCGGCCGAATGAGTGTGTATGTAGCTCGAGAAACTTTTTGTGATCACGTGACCTTGGCCATCGCTCTGATTGGTAGCTGCAAACTTTCTCACGAGGCGCAGCTCGGTGCGTCCTGGGCCTGTCCACTTTTGCTGTAAGCCAATTAATTTTGTCTTTATTACGGTCCGAGCACCCAAAGGGTGTGAAGACCCTATTGGAACTGCTTGGGAATATTATTATTTTAGCATGACAAAGAGACGCGTTTTTGAGGCTCTAAACTTACTCAAAACTGAACAAAACTTGGCACACACATCAGATCTGGCGGCTGCTTTCCTGTACATAGTTGCACCTGATGTTACTCATATTCTAATTTCTGATTTTTTTTTTTTTTTTTTTTTTTTAAAGGTCATTTGCAGACTGTGGCTCCTACCAAAAATTTTCACCAGCTACCACTGACTGTGTGGCTACATATTCCTAAAACAGAGGGCCAAAAAGCCAAGGTTAAACCTTGCAAACAGCAGTTTGCGGTCAACATGAAAGATCAACTAAAATGGTAAGCCAACATGTCTGTGTTATATTCCTCATTCAGTGTTATTCTGGGATCAGGAATTGAAATAATTGAAATTTCAGAAATTATATGAATATAGGTGGATGAACACTGGCCCACTTTGAGTCTGTAATTATCATTTTAGTATAAAATAACCAGTTTAGAATGATTTACTATGCTGCAAATTCCAGCTTTTTATGTTTTTTTTATAATTCATTTAGGCTAATGAGGCAAGCATGTAGAGTACACGTAATCGAGAGAAAGCATGAACATTTTCTTTCTCATGACCAATCGATTGTTTGAAGACTAGGGGTAATTTTGGTCAACCAAGATATTCTTTCGTTAACTGAAGCCTCACTGACAACAAAGGACTCACATTGTCTCGTTCCAGCTTGCGCAGAATCTCTTTGGTCTCCTCCTCAGTCTCCCTCTTCTCCTTTTTAATATTAATGATGGGTGAAGGTCCCATGCTAGGAGCCTCTCTCTCACTTTCATAGCCACCTGTGTGTGATAATGAGATTCACTTAAACCAAGATAACACACAATCATGCATGCATAATATAAACTGCGTAATTGCACTTGTGTGAAAAAAAAAAAGAAAAAAAAAAAAAAACATCTGCCAAAGTCAACGGTGCAGAAAGAGTGCTTATCCAGCAGGAACCCCACCTCTCTTCTTCATCATCATCTCTGCAGGCCCCTGTTCAAAAATAGAGTGGGACTGGATGACCTCCCCGCGACCTCGGCCCCTGCCTCGATCTCCACGCCCTCGACCTCGGTCTGCATCCTTCCTGTCTCTCCTCTGCCCAACGTCAACTTTTGCTCTATAGTAGCAGACAAACATGTTGGTCAGCAGTCAAACAAACTGTTAAACACACATCTTAGACATCTTTTTATCGGGCACTTACTCTTCTTTAACTTTTCTGCCAATAATGTTGGGTGTAAATGTTTTCTGAAAAAAAGACAAAAAAAACACAGAAAAATATGAGCGATGAGGCAATTATTTGAAAAACATTGTATATATGTTACCATATGGGAAACATTAAAGTAGTGAGTAGTGGTGGGCTTTTTTGGCGTGCATATTATGGAAACATTTCCTAACTTTGGCTGTGCATTAATAAGTTGCTCTGCCGTGATGAGACACAGTGATCCAGTGCATTACCTTCTTCACTCCCCCCAGGGTGAGGTCTCTTGATCGCATTGAAGGGAGACGTCCAGGAGAGAGGCCGGCTGGTTGTCGACGGCCCATCAGCAGTCCTATATTACCGCTTCCTCCAGGAGTCGGCGCACGTTGACCGCCGGGGTCACCTGAGTCTGCCATCCTGAACTGTGGCAAAAGCAGGGGATAAAAGGATGTGACTGCCGAATAATATGCATATAAACACTGATTCTTGGCTAATTGTAATCATATTTACCATTATTTGAAGTAGTTTTAATAAGAGCATCACTACCAATATTACAAATCATATTTTTTTTTAAATACTATCCATCATCTCCAAATGGCTGACTCATCATCTGCTTCATAGTGTTCAGTAGGGCTGAAGAATTTGGGAGAAATATCCAATCGCAATATTTTTGACAGACAAAAAAAACCAAAAACATCTCAAATTGCATTAAGTCCTGCTTGATTTGAAATCAATTAACTGTTCAGCCTTAAAAAATAGATATCAGATAACAGTTTACACTCCATTGTACATATCATCCACCCCATCTATGAGTTAATTAGCTTCTTTCTATTGACTGATACCTTTAAAAAACAAACAAACAAACTATAAAACAGCTGTCTGTATATTAGATAAGAGCACTTGTAATTGTGGGTAAAGGTTTCACTGAACATTTTTGTTGTCTTACTAATGTACGAGTGTGGACAAGCAGTCACCAATATCTGCTGCATTTACAATAAAATGTATACAATTCTACTTAACATAGTACATACTAATCAAAAATTTAAAAACAGCATTTAATATTGTACTAAATTCTATTCATTCTTGTTAACATAACGAATTTATTTGCACATGGTACATCTACAACAGAATGGACATCATGAAACAACCGAGCCGATCAACCTGATCTTGTCTTTCTTTTGTCATGTGTGATACTGTGTCATTTAAATAAAACTAGAGTTTTAAGGTGGACATTGACAGTCATTTATCAAAGGAGTGTCTGGAGTGTTGTGGACACACAATCTGATTATTGTCCTTTAAAGACACACCTGAGGAGGAGGTGGATAGATTCAGTGGATGAGGATTTGTCACCCGTTGGAACAGCTACAAAACGCTTTGTGTACAACTGGCTACATTTAACTTGTCTAACAAATTAAGCTGGCTAATAGAGACTAGTTTAACCATACCAATAGAGATGAGACTTTACAGTTTTTCACTAAGAAGTAGGGTTCGACTGATATGGGTATTTCAAGGCCAATATAGACGGCAATTGTTGGAAATCGAGAAAGCGTGATAATCAATATTTGGAACCAATTGCCCTAACTGTAATATTTAAACAGCATGTAATTCTTCATCATTAAGGATTACTGCAGCTGAATATGTGCAATGGAAATAGGAATGATGATGTCAGAGCCTCACATGATGCTCTCTGTTTACTGAGATCAGCTGATTGAGAGTGAACTGGTTGTCTGCTGCCGTTATGTCTGCTGTTCTTCTCTGTTTTGTTAATATTTCACTGCTTTATCATTTTATTGCCAACTGAAGCCCACATTTTAGGCATTATTATTCATTGCTTTCCAAAAACTGTTTTGAAATGTGTGGCTGCCTCCTAACGTAGCTGATAGCTGTTAGTGTAGCCTCAACCACTGTGAATAAAGCAAATGTCCTTGTTTGTAGCAACAGCTTGTGTTTCTTGTTCAGTTTATACGGATTGTGTCTCTGGTGTCTTTTCTGAGCAAACGTTGCTATTAGTAAAATTATTATTGTAAAACAGTCTTTAATTTCTCTACATGGGATTAAATAAATCAACTGTACAACTTCAATAAGCATATTAAAGTTTAGCTCCAGTTTACACCTTCATGTATAAGCATCAGAGTCATGGGTACAAACTGGGACTAGTTACAGGTAAGTGTACATATTGTCCTACACAGCAGAACATACCGTAATTTTTTAAAAGAAAATAGTTACTAGTCACTCGTTTCGATGTACAGTATATTATACAGACAGGAAAAACTGCGTTATTCTGACTAAAGACGATAATTATTACTTTTTTAAGAATAGCTTCTGGTGTTGCACTGCAGGAATCATTATACATCCGTGACATAAACAAACGACTGTCATTTTAAGTGTAACTACACCTAAAATCGCCGCCTTAATCTACCGTTTTTCATACGGAAACCATCCCTCGTTACATTTAATAATTTGTGTCAACAAGGCAGTAAAAAAAAAAACTGCAACACGTGGCCAAATTCTAGCACGAATACAAGGATACAGACCAAGTTTAGCGAACTTTAACGCTTTAACTTTCATTTCCGACTCGCTCTGCTTCTCCACACACTCACCTTATTATTCCTCGGACGTTTAATCAGATATTAACGGGAAACCGGAGAGTCATTACAGATTGTTTTGAGCTAGTGCTGTCTCTGACACTGCATGATGATGATGATGCACGGCGCCATGACACTTCCGTGTTGTCATCATCCTCTCAGCTCACGCGGATCAAGCCTGCGCAGAAAGATGCGCATATTCACTTAACTTATAGCCCATGGCGTATTGTATATTACAGGACGGTGGTAATTTAAAAAAAAAAAAAAGGAAAGGAAACATAATTACACCGAGTGTATTAATATTATCTGCAATATCATTTTAATGTGTAAAAAGCACAATACAGTAGTCTGGCATTTAGTCTATTCATTTATTTAACCTTTATTTAAACTACATTGAGGTGTGGAGGCCTCATTTACAATATAGTCCAGTAAGGAAATAAAAGATGTAGGCTCAATCTTTGCTTGCAATGAAACAATAAGTTGTGAATTCAGGAAAATAAAATATAATATAATAAAACACTAATTTAGTTAAAAACTAAATCTGAATTGCCAAAGGATAAAAATGAGTCCAGCTTTAGTTTGTACTGCAGGTTATTGCAGCTTATAGGAGCACAGTGAGTGAAACTGGACCTTCCAAGCTTGAGCGTTTGGTAAAGACCCACATTAAAAGACAGCAATGATGTAATGTAGGTGGGCAAAAATACAGTGATGGCCTTATAAATAAATAAACACCAGTGTCTATCAGGCCTTTTAGAGATTAAAGGCCACAGCTTACAGTGATGAGTATTATAATTATCACCAGAAGTAAATCAATGCAGAACGATAGACAGTATCCAGGGGCTTAAAGTCATTAGTCACTGCTGATGTATGCATACACAACATGTCCCCATAATCCAGTCGATTAGATAGAAAATAAGTAGAGTGCCCTGTTAGCACCATGTTTTTATTGGTTGTGTATTTATTTTTGGTGATCTATGCTCTAACACTTAGTAGACTGGAAAAGCATTATCAGCACTTTTAATACTTTTTTTTTTTTTCAATCTACACACCATCTGTGTGGATTTTTTTCTTTCTTTCAACTGCAACAAATGTTTAAAAGCAAAACAATCTTTTAGGGCCTATTTTTTCTCATGAAGACACTTTATGTTGGCTTTTCCTTTAATGTGTCACTCATCTGTATATCTGTTTTTTTGTGACATTTACTCTAACACTGAGGCTTTTTATTAGAATAACATGAACCCACCGCAAAATCTAGTTTCAAATCACAACATTCTATTATTTACTCTATGTATGTACCAGCTGATGCACCATAACTGATTGCCAAATTGCATATAATTGCTAAAATGCTAATGTGATGGGAGTTTTGCAAATGTGTGCTGAGCTCTGTTAGTGTATTCCCATGACTGAAATGCATAAGTTGCTCATTTTTAAGCATTTTTGAAATGCGTGCAATACTTGGTACACATAGACTCATGAAATAAATGCAAAAATGATGCTCAAACATCTGTAAAGTGCAAATTGTTCTGGCACCATCCCACAGGAGGAACAACAAAAAGAAATAAAGCCCTGCTTCGGGCTGCTCCTCCAGGCCGGACACCCACTGTAGCCGGGTGGTGTCTGGTATTTCTGATAATGGATTGACCTCTCGGTTGTTCTTCAGAGGGGAGGTGGTGGTCGATAAATCCACCCAATATTTGGAAAATATAAAGATCTGCCAGAAATTGGGCAAAATTCTCCTTTCTAGGCACACACACACACAACTAGCCCCCATCTAATAAACCTTCTATTCCCATCTCTGGGACTGAGGGTTATTTGGACAGAGGCGCACTGTCACGGCATGACTAATGATGGATGATTGCAGTTTAATTACATTCTGAGGGTATCACTTATCTGCGGCTGGCTGGAAATAAATGAAGCTTTTCAATACTCCGCACAGTCTGCGGAATTACGGCAATATATCTTTTGTCATTTTTCAAATATAAATATTATGTGTTTGTCAAAGGACTGCACTCTCACTGTAAGTTCATCCCTTTGTTATCTGCCTTCATCCAATGCTCGTGTCCATTGTTTTAGCAGCAGATTATAGCCATTAATCTGGGAAGGGTCTCTTTAATCTCTAATGGAATCCTAAATTAAGTTGTCCCACGGGTTTGAACCAGTATAAAAACATCCCTCTGAAAATTAATGCCAGTGGAAATCTGCTTACTCTGGACTTACATGGTGGCGTCCCTTGCCTGCGGATAGGCTGGGGGGGAGATGCCCTGTGGAGTTGGTCCATATGGCATAACAGTTGGCACATGTATATTTTTTGAGGTCTTGATGGTGCTCTATGTAATTTACTGGGACATCACTCACAGCGTAATCCCTTTTTCTGATACTGTAGCAAGCAGAGTGTGTAAAATTGTGATTTTTTTTTTCTCCTTCCCCCCCTCTCACACTCCAAATGTCCATACTGTCTCCATATCTGAGACGTGACATTTATGCAGGCAGCTAAGTGTTCCGACTGTATCAGAGTGTGCGTGGATGTTGTGCCACAGGGCAGATTTACTGACGAGTGATGTGTTGTGCATGGCTGGCTGGCGAAGGCATGATGCTGACAAGGTTGACTGAGTGTCTCACTGTGGTCACACTGCAGTTATAAATTTATCTTCTTTTTCTTTTGTTGTTGTTGCTTCTTTTAGGTTTTAATTCATCCTGTGTGGCTTCATGGGAGTCAAGTAAACATCATGCAGCGCTCAGAGCGAAAAACATGAGATTGGGAGGGAGGGGGAGGCAGGGAGGCAGGGGGAGGAGGGGGGGAGGTTAGAGTGTTTGTGTGGCACAGAGAGGAAGAGAGAGAGAAACAGACGGAGAAAGAGGAAGAAGAGAGGAGCCCGTGTGTTCGTTTCACCTCCTAATCAGTTTTCCTGGGGGATCTATCAGCGACTGCAGCAGGCGAGAAGAAGAAAGCGAAATAAGAAGATAGCACCGCTCAGCCTGGCAAGAATCTTCTCCCATCACAAATCTGAGCTTCATACAAGTAAGGACTTCTTTTAAATGTCTCTGCATATTGATGCTTGTAAATGTCCATTAAATGAATCCATTACATTGTCCCTCATGGACAACTGTGAAGTTGTACTATCTCATGCTGTGATGGAGCGTTTCATCTGTGCATTTCTCCAGAGATGTTCGACATAAAGCCAGATGAGTGCAATAGGTTGCTGGGGTGATAATGTATATCTTCTATTTGTATATTGTTCTACTGAAGTGCACATGCTGGTGTGATGAATTTTTCTGCCAACTTTGGACATTTACTACATTCCCACCTATGCCATTCTGCACGAGACTGTGAGGATATTTGATACAGAAGCACTGACTGGTTCTTGTAATGATGCTCATTCTCCAAAATTAAACCGTGCAAGGGAAGGCAGCGCTTCAAACTGCAGTCACACACAATCTCTTTTTTACAGCTTGTTTATTGAACTTTACAGAAGAGGCAGCATTTTTGTTTTCCTAATGGCCTTTTCAGCCCCTATTTTTAAAACTGTGCAGAGGAAATTGTGCCTTTTCTTCCTCCCTCTCATGCAACTATCTAAAATGGGGTTTTAAGATATTCTTCCTGGAAGAAATAAAAGAATGGCTTTGAACCAAAGAGGTGCTTTCTATGCCTTGCTCTATATGAATGACTGCAGCAGCAGCAGCAGCATCTGCATGTGTGCTATGTCTTACAGCCAGGAATAAGAACTGTAACTGAGCACTAACAACCCAATGTGTGCATCATGTACAATTATCAATTCGACCCAGTTGCCTTATTCAGAGCAGCTGTCTGTCAGAGCTGGTATCGTAGTGGAGATAATTGGCTGATATTCCTTTTTTTTTCACAGGCTGATTTATAAATGAGGGCAGTGGTATTGGAACCCTTGTTTGAACTGTATTCACATGTATTCGATTCCAAAAGTGGAGCACACGCAGAGGCATGGGGCTTTGATGACTTGTCCTGCGAGAATCTCCTCTTGCCCCAGTTTCTATCTCTGAAATGGTAAGAAATGAGAACAGCAGCCGGGAAAACAGACGCATGGAAACACACGTGCGTGATGCAACAGCTCTCTCCTCTCCGGTCCCCGTGTGATGGAGCTACCGCACAAATTTCACAGTTCACAGGCTTTAATGAGCTGCTGCAGCCTGTCCATCATACTGACTGGTGAGCACCTTAGCAGACCAGTTTGTGGGATCACACAGACAGCAAAAAAAAAAAGAGCACGTCGTGATTGTTGGTTCTATATGGCTAGAAGGTTATTTTTAGGCACATCTGTGATTTAGCATATGCTCAGTGTGAGAAGGCTTTTAATAGGGGGAGCATGCAGTGCACTGTGTTGAGATGCTGAAATACTGCATCAGTAAGCTACACTGGAGGAGACAGTTGCAAAAACAAACTCTAGACAGATTAAAATTACAAGCAAATTATGGAGGAATAGATGTCTCAGCGGCATTGTGCGCCTGCTGAAGAGACCAGTCGGCTGAGAGGAGGAGAGGTGACAGCTAATGAAACAAACACAGGCTGAACAACAGATTACCTCCAGCCCTGCACTCAAGGCTCTGTGCAGCGGCCTGGATCGAACTGCTGATGGGCAACTCAGGAAATATGATCATACATCACCTGCCGTTGATACTCAAACCTCCCTCCTTTCTGTCGATACAAAAGCTGTGAGAAGATTCTCCTTGAGCTGAAAGTAGTTCACTTGCTCAGCCGTTTTGAAAATGCACACCGTTCTGCAAGGAGGCAGAAAAAAAAAGTTCCCTTTAGTTTAAATTGTTGCTGACAGATGAAGTAATCTTTGTGTTTGTGACCCCTTCCTGGAGAATTACGGGAGTAGATTGAGGGGAGGCTGGAGACGTGTGGTTGCTGGGAGACTGCTGTAGGTGGATTATGAAATGCACGGGGAAAGCAGAGGCCAGTCACTCAGCTGGGAGCGTATCGAGTTGTGTAATGATGTGAAATGTCAGTTAAGGGCAAGAAAAGGGAGGAGGAGGGGGAAAAGGAGCGAGACGGCGAAGAAAAAAAAAAAGCTGGCTCACGGATCCTTAAATGAAAGGTTAATTTGATTCTGTCAAAGGTGTACTCAGCCGTGGTGTTTTTGAACCTCTACTGTGTCAACTTCACAGCGCTTAGTGACACAGTTTAATCTCTCAGAGCCGATCTCGCCCATCTCCAGCGCTGGTATTACCGTCCCAGATTACACTCTAGTCTAACCATCCGCTTTTATCTCTAATTTGAATGGATTACAGAAATGGACGCCCCTCTCTCCACCCCCTGCAACATCCAGATCTGTGAGGTGACCTGCGACTCCTTCCGCATCATGTGGGACATGACCACCGAGGACACCGCCAGAGCCACGCACTTCTTCATCGACCTGAGCCGCAAAGAGAACAGGGACCCCAACCGCTTCAAACACAGGGTCTGACACTGCCGCATGACCTCACGTATCCTCCCCTGTCCTCTCCCTGAGGCCTATCTGCTCCCTGCTCTGCTCCCTGCTCTGCTTCCTGCTCTGTTTTCTAGGTTCATGCTCCATATTCACACCAATCAATTTCCACCACATAATTGGCCTAGAAGAAGCCCTCCTAGCCCTGCATGCCCTTTAAGAATAACAGTAAATGAGACATGAAAACATGGATTTTATCGAAGTCTAGTTGGGTTAACAGATGCCTCATGATATTGTGCATCAGTCTGAACACTGAAAACTGCGGTTGCGCCCTTTCAGTCACTTCCAATACAGGCGAAGAGGAAAATGTGTGCAGTCAACAGCTTCGGGCCAGTGACTCACTTGCACATTGTTTCCTCTTAATGTGTACAAAAACTGACAAATTCAGCTGCAGCACTGAACAGTTTTCATGTTAATGACATCCAGCGTCGTTAAATCTACAAAACGGACAGATTTCTTAAAGCACACACATGCAGTAAGGTGGCAAAGAGGCAATCTGTAACAGTTTTTCTTCTTTGATATATGCATTTGTCAGGGACTATTAATCTCAAGCGATGACAGGAGACATGATGCTCTGAATTTAGTAACCTGCTACATTCCCTTCTGCAGTCCACGGATTTGTAGACAAACTGCATCTCTATGTACAATGCACAGACGGGGGACAAATTAAAGGAAAATCCAACATAAAGTGTCTTAGGGCCACCACGTACCAACATATCAGCTTCAATGCACCTTGACGTTGATTCTACAAACCTCTGAAACGCCTCTGGAGGGATCGAACATCATTCTTGCCTCATTTGTTGCTTTTTGATGTTGGTGCAGAGCTCTGTATAACATGTAAGTCCAAAATCCCCTAAAGGTACAGACTGGGTTGAGATCTAGTGACTGCAATGGTCATAGCATATGACTCACATCATTTTCAGACTCAGTGAGCCCTAGTGCACAATGAATGGGCATTTTCAGTCCTGGAAGAGAGCAGTCTAATCAGGATAGAAATGTTTCCTCACAGGATAAAGATGAGCACTCAGAACAAAATTGTATTGATTTGCAGTGAACCTTCACTTTAACTAGTAAACCCAAACTATACCAGCAAAATCCCCCCACAGCATAACAGAGGCACCAGATCCTCTCACTGTGGGGGTCAGGCATTCAAGCTTTTCCTTTAATTCGTCACCTGACTGTATGTATTCCTGTGCAGATGTGGTAACATGTAACAAACACTGTCCCCACTTAACATCAGCATGTTAGCATTCTCAGTGTGAGCATCTTAGAATGGTGCCATTATCGTTGTCTAAAAGGGCTGCTATTATGGATGTTATTATCATTTAAGTGATCGATTGAGTGTCTAGCTCTCCCTTTCTGTCTCCACTTCTGAACCACTACAAGTATACAGCATCTTCATATATTATTTATTTATACGTGTTGTTGACTTTCTCCTATCTTCCTCTTCAGTTTTTCCCTCTTTTTTTCCTTATTTCCTTTTCGATAGTTCAGATAAAACAAACATTTATCTCCCTTCATTGCAAATGCAAAATACTGCCTGTAATTATGGTTTATTATTGCAGGCAGCATTCAACCGCTGAAAAAGCACTTTTGTGAAGTCAAGGCACGGGCAGAACTGAGTCAGTTCCTCCTGTACGGAGGATATGTTCTCTCCCTCTGATGCACAAAGTGGCACAAACAAACTTGCATCAGAGATGTTGCCATGGATATATGGGCGTCTGAGCCTGTAGTAATTAGCTGTGCTTCTTAGAGGCCTTGGTCAAAACAAAGCCGCTGATTTGATTAGATGTATCCTAGTTACAGACGCATGGGCTTGAAATGGAATATCACGCTAATAAGGCAAAGTTTAAGGAGGGAAATGGTCGACTTAACAATTGCATTTACATTTGCTTTGAAATGTAAATGAACGAGGCTGCACGGCAGCCTGTTCTGGCCTCGCATCCTGTTCCTGATGCCACCTCTTTCCTGCTTTATCCTGCAGGATGTGCCAACCAAGCTGGTGGCCAAAGCTGTGCCTCTCCCCATGGCAGTGAGGGGACACTGGTTCCTGAGCCCGCGGACGGACTACTGTGTTGCCGTTCAAACTGCTGTTCGACAGCCGGACGGTGACTACCTGGTGTCGGAGTGGAGCCAGGTGGTGGAGTTCTGCACCGGAGGTAGGACACACCACGCGCTGCAGATCAAGTAACACTGATTATGTATGCAATATGAGAGATTTAATAATATAAATCAATCACGCAAAGTGCACAGAACAGAAGTGGCAGGAAGAAAAAAAAAATCTGTCTCAGCACCGGGTATCATTAGCATTTCAAAGTAGAGCAGACTGGAAGTGATTACACAACTTCAAAAATCAACTTTGCAGACTATGCCATGGAACACCTACAGCAGCTTCTTGACAAGGCCAAAGGCTCTGCAGGGAGGCTGCTCAAGTTCTCTGTGTTTTATCGTAACCAGCACCCGGACTACTTTGACTATGTCAGGTCAGTGCTGCATTCTCTTCTTTCCTTGCTGTATACCCACAGCATTCAAGTGTAATACTCATTTTTCTCTTGATGCCTTGAATTAGGGGGGACGGTGGAGGCCTGATGCGTCCAGCACTGAAAGACAGCAGCGGGAGTCACGGCTCTCCTATCAACGGCAAACTAAATGGAGTCTTCTTCAGCTGCAACACAGAGTTTGATACGGGCCTGCCTCCCAAAGACTCTCCGTACGGACCCCTGCGCTTCCAGATCCCGGCCGGACATCTGCTCAACCCCAACATTTCCCTGTATTTCGCAGACTTCTACTGTATGTACACGGCCTACCACTATGTGGTGCTGGTGCTGGCCCCCGTTGGCACAGAGGGCGACACCTTCTGTCGCACCCGTCTCCCTATGTTGGACTTGGCCTCCAACCCTTTCCTGACATACACCGCCCCCCAGAGGCAGGGGGAGGAGCCCCTGTACTGCCACGCCAGCGACGTCATCCTGGAGGTGCTTTTCACAGAGCCGGTTCATCTGGACCAGGGCAGCGTGGAGCAGATCAGTGGGCACCACCAGCTTATGAGTCTGACCACAGCCAACGCCAAGAAGGACCCAAGCTGCAAAGTGTGCAACATCAGTGTGGGACGCTGATGTAGGACAGACGTGGGAGCGTGTGAGACGAGCCGTTGCACGAGACAAAACAGTTGAGTCCATCATGTGTAGGTCAGAACACTGTGGAAACAGCAACCTATTGGGGTGTGACCGTGCTGCATTCCCACCTCCCCCCTGCCCGGACCACTGGTTTAAATAGAGGACTTTTACAATGCGTTTTGCAGCTGGAAAAAAAAACAGTGAATGCCCATCCACGACTGTTGAGTGAAACATATATCGAAAACATGATAGGCTTCTAGAAAACAGGAGAAAATCTGTGTTCCTTATTTGTAGACAGTCATAAGTGCTTCCTTCAGGTGTCTACATGACGTTTTCTCAGTATCTTTCTGAATTTATATTTATCCCCCATGTAGAAGAGGTGTTTTTGGTTTTGCTTGAGTTTGATGTGATTAATTTTACAAAAAAAAAAATGAGTTCAAGTCAAACCATTATAGATTATAAATAGAACAAAGATTTTTTTTTATACTGTAGAAATCCTTTTTCTATACAAAGTCTCTGCCAGATGTTCCTTCTCCAAAGAAAAAATCATCATAATCATTATGACACTTGGTAACTTTAACTCTAGCTTGCGGCATCCTCGCTGAACACTTTTTAAAAGCTGGCTGGTGACTTATGATTAAGAAATCTACAGATGCACTTTGACCCAACAACAATATTTTATAATAAGTCAGTTAAAGCCATTTTATGTGCTGGGGCTCTGAACATAGGAGGAAGGTAATGAGGAAAAGAGTATCTCAGTGTTCAACCCTGATAACTCTCTGGCAGCACACCTCAGCTGTAAACATTCCTGAGCTAAGATTAGCTTCTCTCCTCCTATGGGGTTTCTATTTGTCACAGCCCAGTTATTTCTGACCTATATGTGAATCCCACAAATGCCCAAAGTGAAAGGGATCCCCTTCCCGGTGCACAAGACCAATCCATTTGGTGGTGCCTGACCAAAATGTAGGACATGACAACAGCCTGGAAACATGGTCACCGTGTGATTATTAATGCTGAAGAAAACTGGAAAAAAAGAAAATTGAATACAACCAAACCGACTGGCTGACACTTCTTTTTATACAGAGCAGCTGTTCAGATGTCTAAACATGAATGAAAAAAAAAAAGAGAGTACCATTTCAGAGTAAAAACAATGTAAATGTCATGAAAAAATATCCACTGCACTTTCACCCACAGCTGACAAAGTGTGCATGATAAAAATAGAGAACACTTGTAGTTTGAGTATGTCATGCCCTTTCACTCAGATACTTCCCACGGCAGAGGTGTGAGCTCACACACACAGTCACGCTGTAATTCTGCCCGTCGTTATTATCCCAAAAAGCCTCACTTTGCCCTCCCGGCAAGTAAGATAAGCAGAACTCTATCTTCCTTTTGGCATCCAGCACTTTAGGAACGGCAATGTCAAACTCAAAGATGTCTGTCTGGGGTCCCCCGAAGCGTTTCTGCAGGTACGTGCAGGGAACATCTCTGTAGCTCTGCCACGAGTCAAAGGTGATGCGCACACGCACGTCCTTCTGGAAGCTGATGTTCTTGACCCGCACGGTACCTTGCAGGGCCTGCTCATTCACGCTGCAGCTCTCCAGGATGACCATGCTCTTCGCCAGCTTGGCACGAAAGGCCTGGAAATCTGCTGAGGGCTGTGGGAAGTCCAGTTTGAGGCGTGTTCCTGGGCAGCAGGTGCTGACGGTGCAGCTGTAGCCATCCTCTGTCATGCTACCCAAACCCTGCAGCGACGGCAGGAAGTCGAGGTCAGGCTGCTCTTCTTCGTCGCAAAACTCTCGCACGGCCGTGAGAGACAAGCCCCGTGAGTCGGCGAAAACCACGCGTTTGTTCTTTGCGGGGATCCAAACGTCATCATCCAAGTCGTCGTCCAGGTCGATGAAGAGGGACGAGAAAGGGTGGGCGAGATAAGCCTGGCTCAAGACGTCTGACGGCAGCTGCTCTGACAGCGGAGGTCGGATGCAAGGTCGCTGAGGTTTTAGGATGGGAACCCAGACGTGAGGACACAGTTCCTTACGTTGGTTCAAGCACAGCCTCACGGCAATCTCCACAAGTCCGGCTGACTGGGCCATTGATCCAATTCCAACTGCTGGCGCCACGCTAACAAAGAAACAGGCAGTTATTTCATTGAAGACATCTGTCACAGAAGTGTCATCATACCTGTTAATACTCTAAATGTGCTGTTATTTATTTGTAAGGAGCAAACTGTTACCTAATAATTCACCCTCACTTTTGATAACAGTAGAAGAAGCAATGCAAGAGAGTTCACCCCTCAGCTGCAGAATCACTTTATGCTAAGCATGTGCTCACCTTGTACTGGACATCTCCACACTGGCAGCCTGGTGTTGATTGATGAGAATATTACCTTTAATACTTGGTTAGAGTTCTAGAAAACAGAAAAAAAAACATTGCTATGTCAGTTTTACAAGACATTTTAATAAAAAGAATGCAAAATTATTGTTATATTTAAATATTTGTGTGCAATTCTGAGACTATAATGTTGCAAAAAAGAAAAGAAAAAGCTGAAAGAATCTTAGGATTTATTTAAATCTTACTTACAGACTCCCATGAGCAGCAAGTTGCAGTATGGAGCCTGTCATCCCTTTACCCACAGGAGAATCTGGCACCGTGTCCTATTTATACTACCTCAGTTAGGATGTCATGTTGTGTAACTCCACCCTCTTCTCTCTCCTGACCAATCCGCCAGCCTTTGTGGGTTTGTGTTCCTCCAGATTTCCTTAATGTGTTGATTTTATATCATCTACAGCAACCCCTTTTTTTATGTTTATTTTGTGCTATGTCTGCTCAGCTTAATTCAGTGTTCCGGCACGAACGTTAAACATTCATGTGACATTACATCTTCGTATGTTGTCCAGTGGGTCAAATACATAAAGTCCAGCTGTGTGTAATTCGACTCTGCATTGTGGAAACTATCCCAGTCGTCCTGAGCTCTATTCTCAGACCTGTCGATGAACACAGATCCAACAGAGGCCTGGGCCCGGATCCAAGCTCTCCGCTGCTTGGCTCCTGCCCTGGAGGGATCACTGTCTCACGGCCCATCAGCATGTTCGATGCCGAGGAGGGCCGGATTACAAATGACTCTCGGCAGGCCAGTCATTTAAGCAGGGAGCGTTCCCTGGTTATATCGAGCTGCTAGAAACATGTTGCTCCGCACACAAGACACAGGCTTCAGGACATTTTGGTGACTTCAGATGACCTCAGAAATTGTTAACTTGTTCACGCTGGTGAAGATTTCTGCCAACGCATGATGAGAATTCCAGACAGCTGTTCAAATGATAATTTTGGGTGTGGTGCTTAATAAATAAATACTTTCACAACCATTCAGGCATTTATAGTTTGTTAAGGTTTTATTTATTTTTAATCAACTTCACAACTTACTTTTTTTTTTTTTTTAAATTAAGCTAAATCGTGTTCTTTCATGAAGGGATTGTCTTCATAGAAAATATCTAAATATTCATTTTGATAAACACAGATGAGCCTTTACAGGTTTAATCAATGACTGGAGAGGAACTTATATGGACTCTGAATATTCCTCTGTATGTTATAAGATGGGCTGTAAGGTGG